GTTAAGGATAATTTATGCAAAGCACAGAGGAAGAGCTTAAAAGGAATAGTCTGTGTTTTGTGTATAGAATGGCACTTAGATTTCTTTATCTCGGGTTTTGGGTTTGGCTTCTCAGTTTTGTTTTTCTTTTAAGATCTTATTAATAGTTAAGAGGAGGGTGTAGTATATTAAAATGAGAGTGTTTTTTTGGCTGCTTTGTATTTCATCTAAGTAAGATTTTGGCATTTCTGGAGGCACTGTCTTGTCTGTGACCTCCAGTTTACTATCTTGGTTGCTATTTCAGTCTTGTTTTATTCTCCTCTCTCATCTTCCCCACAAAACTTTAACTATTATGTGTAAAGAAAGACATCAGACATCAGTAATGCTCCTAATGAGTTTCAGGACCTTTCTAATATTGCTCGGGGATATTCAGTATCTGGAGTTGGTAGAGAAGGCATAACTTCTTGGCCCAAAATATTATCTCTGTGTTATACAGTGTGTGGTGTTTGGACTGCTGTTTCAGTAAATATACAGTAGGATGGAGGATTGTTTTTATTTGTGTGTAATTATGATGGGAGTGCATGGAGAGCAGAGCTACCGAGCTTGAGTCATGAACTCAAGATATGGAACATGCTCTTCTATAAAGATTTAGTGAACTAAGATTCTTCAGTCTTGAAAACTTCATTGGAGAAGTGTTGATAGTGATCTACAAATCGTGATAGACTTGAGTATGAACTGTCTCTTTCTATGGAAGAACTTGGGAGTGCAGAGTGAATCTAGTAGAAACTGTGTTTACCATAGAGGCAGGTGATTCTTTAAACAGCAGCAGTGGGTATGAAAAACTCTTGTAGAAGGATGCTGTGGATGCTAAAAAGTTGCAGAGAAAATTGCATGACTTTGTCAGAAAGAAATCTGTGGAAGGTTCTACAAAATATGTGGAAACCATGTCCAGCTCAGGAAGTCCCTGAACTGAACACAGTTGGAAGAATATTAGACAAGAACATAATGTTTACTTGTCCTCTTCTGGTTCATGAGCTTATGGCCCCTGTTGAAGGTAGAATACCAGGGTAGACTGACCGTTGGTCTGACCTTGAATAACTGTCCTTATTTTCTCTTACTCGTCTTCCTCAGTAAAAATCCCTGGATTTCAGAGGGAGTCTAGTTAATGGTGGATTTTCTTTTACATAGTTCACTCTTACATCACTCTTGATGTATCTCCTACATTTCATCATCTACGAAACGGAGGACCTTGTAGCAGTAGCTGTAATAACTGTAAGTCATCTGTTCTCATAATCTGATCACAAGCAATGTGAGTTTGATAATGTTTTTTATTATTTCTGACAGTTTTATGCAGCTTGGTCAAAATGACAGTTTACGTAAGTGTGTATGTTTGGGAAGCAAGGAAATTATGTTGCTTGAAAGCTGAAGTACAGACACAGGATTTTATTTGAAACACTTAAGAAAAACTGAAACTGTGGTCATTCTGAATTTGTTTTCTACTAGAAAAATGTCTGTCCCGCAAATCTGAGCTGTGCCAGCATATTTTAGAAGTAGGTGAAGATTCAGCTTTCCATGTCATCTGCTCTGTTCTGAGCTACTTCTGCAGAAGTTTTGGCAGCAGGATCAGCAGCTGTCTTTTAAGTAGCAATGGTTGAAAGAGGAGCAGAAAGGTTTTGATAAACTACTTCTGGAGGATTAATCTGTTCAGAAATAGTACTGTACTGAATAATGAAATAGGTACAAGCTGGAAAAAAATATGATATTGCTGACCTGGAGTGACCCGTACCAGTTGAAAAATAGGAGAGTTACAGAGACTACCTTTCTGGAAACCTCCTGAGTTCAGCCTACTTCTGTGGTCTCAGCATACTTTCATGAGAGCTCTTTTAAATGTTGAGAAGCATGTGGCTTTCTGCATCTGGCCATTTGCCACATCCCATTGCTGCTGTGCAGTAATTAATCAGTTTGACACAGTGCATGTGCATCACAATTAGGATTGAAGTGTTGATTTGATTTGTGGTATCTCAGGGATTTGCTTGAGAGGTTACTGGTCAATCTGAAGAAATTCCTTAACTGCCCTGGGGTGATTAATAGACTCTTATTGATGATAAAAAAATAGGAGCTTATCACCATATGTATATATTTTATTTAAATTTTTAACACATTTTCCTTCTATGCATCAAAATCTGCCTGACCAAGAGGTCCCAAAGCTGAGAGATAGGGAGTGAAGAATGAGTGTTAATAAAGTCAGTTTATCTTACATGTTAGGAGTATGTCGTGTGGGTTGCTCACAGAGAACCAACTCAAACCCAGGACTTAGAGATGTTTATCCAGACCTTTTTCAAGACTGTATAATTCTTCATGTTATTTAGAAGTCATGATGCAATAGCAGTAGTAAGTAATGGAAGCTCCACGAGACAAAATAAGTCTGGTTGCATTTTGAAATGAAGGAATGAGGAGCCATAGGTCATCGTAAATAATGCTACTTGATTGTGTTACTACTGTTGGGTTTGGTTGGATAAATGAGCCAAGGAGTAACACATTATAATACAGACCGGTTTATGTTGTCTTTTTCTGATTTTCATGAAAACAGATAGGCGGAGTTTCAGGGAGGAAGATAGGGATAGAAGATGACTTCAACTGCCACTTCTTCCTTTTCTCCAAGCTAATACTCTTTCAATAAACAGCATACGTGAGCTGCATTGTCTGTATTTCTGTATCTGAAATGTTCTTCATGCATCCTGATTAGGAGAGAGCTAGAGTTCTGAAGCAAGAGAGAACTAATAGTTTTGGGTGTCAACTGTACTTTAAATATGTGTTCTGTTTAATGCTTTTTGTAACATTATCTTTTGTTTTTCTGGGTGGATTGTGAAGGAGCAGGCAGCTGAGTATCAGCTCATAAACTAGAGTAGGAACATCACTGACAATGTTAATGCAAGAGTTATCTGGAAAGATCTGTGATCATGCAGGATTATAAAGATCCTCATTCCATATTTGTTGGAAGTACAGCTTTGTTTCCATCATCCAAGTAATTATTAACATTCTCTAAAGTTTGCTACCCATAGGTCTAAAATATTTATAGAAAAATTGTTTGAAAATAGATACTTTTGTCATTCTTCCCACTATTGGGAAATTATGGAAATAAGTAACTTTCCCAATTATCCTGTTGTGGTGGTTTAAGCCCTGCCGGGACTGGAGAGCACATTGCCGTTGCTCCTCCCCCACCCTCAGCCAGTCAGGCTGGCAGTGAGGCACAACCTCCGGGTTAAAATAAGAAAAAATTTAATACAACAGTGTGATAAGCAATCTGAACAACAACAGTAGCAATGATAACAACAATAAACAGCAATAACAGTAAACAAGACAAACAATATACAGAGAAATACCACAGTGGTTACAGACAGCTCACTCACGTGCTTCCCTTCACCAAAGCCACAAAGGAAAAAGTTCCCGCGCTCCCCGCCTGGACCTGACTTCAGCATGGTATGAATAACCCGCCTGGAGATCCTTTCCCCCTCTCTTTCTTAGCCCTATCCTAGCTGAACCAGGACACCTATGTCCAACTCAAAAAAACCCAAAAGGAAGCAAACAAGCTCAGAGTTGATTCAGTGCATATAAGAATTAATTAGCTTTCACTGTGATTTCAGGACTGTAAATTAGGATATGTTTTCTCATCAGAGTATTACGTAGAAAGTCTTTTTTTATCTGGTATACGTTTTTTAAAAAACCTTTTTTTTAAATTGATTGTAATGTGGTCTTGTGGAATTCTTTGTTTAAGCATAAGAGAAGTGATACCATGGCTCTGTCTCTTTTTCCTAAAAGCTTTGCTGTAGTACTGGTCTTTGAGGACTGTGAGCTTGAGTCTCAGTAGATGTTAGCTGTGCTTTGTAGATTCCCATTCCTCCAGACCTCAGACCTCACTCTACTTGCACTTTTTCCTCTTCACCTTGACTCATTTGCAGTTCTAGATAAAGCTTCAGATTTTCTCATAATAATTGGAGCAGAAAGTCTATCTCATAATGTGTGGCTCCCAGTAGCCCTAAGAAGAAGTGGGCAGAAATCACTCTATTCTTTAGAATTAGTGCAAGTTTTGATGGAGTAAAAGAGCACTTCTCCATTGAGTTTAATGAAGTCAAGGTTTCACAGAAAGTGTTAACTACAGGCTGTGAATATATTGTTTCTGCACAAGCTAGCACAGGTACCTGCCATTCCATTCACCACTGATTCTCTGTTTGTCAGTGCTCTGAAATGCCAAGTATGACAAAAATGTTGGAGGGCAACTTCCTATTGCAGTGAAAGGTGTTCAGTTCTATTCAGTTATAAGGCAGCAGAATCTGACATGGAGTTTGCTGGAAGATAACAGTCACTGATTTCATAACCGAGACATTTTATTTATATGAACTTAAAGTGACCTGAAACGTCACCATCTGTAAAGTGATTAATCCTAATTAGTGTGAAACTTCTTGACTGGAAAAGGTACCTGCAGTTCAGAATGATCAGCAATTCTCATGTAGATGTTTTTGGTTTTGCATATTAACCCAGCATGTAATTTCACCTGTTCCAAGGTGACCACTATGTCTTAAATAAGGAGATGTAAGAGACTTTCTCACAAGTCTCTTGTTGAGATTCGTGTTCTATACAAGATGCTGTGTATGGTGGTTCTGTGTAGAAGATGATTATATTGAACTCTTGTATTCTTTAGTTTCTTATCAGTGTATCCTGGATAGTAGATAGCACAGTGGATTGGCATCTTTTGGTGGAAACACTGTTCTAGGTCACAACATCTTTCTGACAGCAGAAATGGGATCACTAACATTTTGTGGATAGAGGAATGATTTACACAGAAATGTGCTATAATAAGTGAAAATGCAGTTTTGCAGAAACTTGTGCAAGATGTTTTTATAGTAATTTTGTTTACTGCTGTTGATTGTTTCAAATATTCTCAATTTTTTTTTTAATAGTAATGGGGCTATGTTTTAACTTTCTCATGTGTCTGAATTATAATCTCAGTATAACATTTTAAAGGTGGCGATACATGTGAGTATCTTCTGTCCAGTGGAAGATTTCTTGGAGAAAAAGTATGGCAACCGCACAGCTGTATGATGCATAAATATAAAAATAGGTAAGGAAATTCATGTTTTACACTGCAGTAATTGCAGTGTCATCTATTTTTCACTTTATAGCTGATTAGCTGGGCTTTCAAATATATGCAAAATTTTTTCATTATGAAAATTAAAATATTTTTATATTAAAATATTAAAAAGAAGTATCTTCCTTGTATGTGATCTGTGTGTCTACAGTGTTTACCATAGTTGTATTTATATATAGAAATATAAATAAATGTTGGTGATAGTACTGATACATGGTACAGAGAGCCAAAAGAGACTGCATAGCTTCATATATCACTCTCAGATTGCTGAAAGGGAAAATGCTGACCTTTTAAGTACAAAAAAATCCCAAATATAATTACCTTTTCTCACCTCCTAGCAACAGAACTTTATTTTTTAGAATTATGCTGTATATTACCATTTTGAGACTCCAGTATTTATAGCACCACAGAATAGGAAAGCCGCCTTCAAATCAAATTAGCAGGAGAGTTAATTTCTATGCAAATTACACTAAGCTTTTTATTAATTCAGCATGTTTTAAAAAAGATTTACCATTCCTTAGAGCAGGATATAATGCTTAGAATTATCTATATTGCTCTGTAGATTTTCTAAATACTTTTTCCTAAAATATAAATTACCTGTAACATTAATGTTGCTATTTTGTTTTACAGTGAAGCAAAAAATTGCCTCATAGACAAACATATTGTGTTTATAGGAGATTCTAGAATTCGACAGCTGTTCTATTCATTTATAAAACTCATAAATCCTCAAGTCAAAGAAGAAGGAAATAAGGTGAGATAGTTTAGTTTGATGATGTTTTTGTTTCTAATTTACCACATAACTCTTCTTTAAACTTCAAAAAAGCAAGAAATTATACTGTTTACAGGCCTAGCCATCAGGAAGAAGAGCCGCAGAAAGGTATTTTGGAGAACAAGATTAGACCAAGATCGTTGTTTGAGTACAGATGAGATGTTTGGGCATCTTCAGAGGTGAACTAGAAAGCTTGAGAGAAGGCTTGCGGTAGTCTGGGAATAAATTAATGAAGCTGACTTGTCCCGTAGCAATTTTTGCTTCGTATTTGGTTTCTCAATGAGAAAATTTTTGCTCCTTTTTGTGTTTTTAAATAGTAGTCATTCATGGCTTCTAATTTGTCATTTTAAATGTCAGTTAAATTGCTGATCTAATCTGTTCATAAAAATCCTTGGGGCCATGACAGATTTCCAGGTCTAACTTGAAGCTGAAACGAAAACTATCTTCTGGTCTTATCTTCCTTTTGATTGCTGCTGAAGAGATGTCTGAATTTTATGAGGTGAAAAGTGTAGACTGCAGCTTGCTGGGTGAAAGCAGTAAGAAAGGATTTAGCTGAATCATTCGTTGAACAGAAAATTCATTCCTTTTGCTGGATCATGCTGGTTAGGCATATCCCTTCATGGTTGTATGTACATATGTGAGGAAAAAGACACATTTAACTTTCAACTGTACATCAAACTCGTCAATTATTTAGAAGTGCAAGCTGGTGGCTTGTCCAGCAGACAGCATGCAGTCATTTTCACTTGTCAAAACCAGATGTTTGACTGATTGAGTAACTCTGGTTTTCCTTGTCTCTTGGTTAGGTCACAGTAGCTGATGGTAATGGTGAGATGGTTGAGTGCTATACTTGATTTTGAGTTGAGAGGTATCTTTTGTCAAATATTTATGAAATCAAGATCTCAGTTTATGAAAGAGAAATACATTTGTACTTTTGGACCAGGATCGAAACTAATATTGTATTTAGTAATATTTTAAAGGAGGATTGTGTATGCAGTATCTGACTGCTTCCTTTCTGATTTCTTACAGTCTCACTCAGCAAATTTAATAATGCATTCCAGACTTTATTTCTGCCTGAGATTATTTTCTTTTATTCTTTAATTAAAACTATGTCGTTTTGTGCAAAGAAAATGGGCAGATGAAAAGGAAGGCTAGGGGAAAGGAAGTATAGGAAAAGAAAGAGAAAAAAGCCCAAGGTTTTTTTCATCTGGGGAGGCTAAATGTAGGAAAATATATGATACCTTTGCAACAGGGTGAGCAGAAAGCATTTCAGACTTTGTTGGATAGATTTTCTCCAGGAAAAATAACCCTTTATGCAGGCAGCTTGTTTTATCATGAAAGTAACGTAAACATTTTGCATGAGTATACTGACAAGTTTATGCAAGAAAAATCCTTTCTACTGAAGATAAACCTTTGGGTGAGAGCAAATTAACGTACAAATATCAATATTTTTTTTCTCTTTCTGAAAGTTTGTCTTACTTTGGTTTTACTGGTTTGGGTTTTTTGACAGCATGGAAATATCCTGTTTGAAGATAAATCTGCTTCAATTAAAGTGGTAAGTTTTTACCTAGCATTGAATTGCAAGCCATAATCACATTACTTCATACAATGTAATCCAAATTGCAGTCATAGCTGAACTTTTCAAATTTCCACAAGTGTTGTAAAAGTCAAAAGAATCTTTAGACCATCAACATTCTTTATAAATTTTCCACAAAATGTATCAGAGTGTATCTTAACATATTATATTTTGAATAAGATTCTTTGAGAGGCTTTGGCTTTGAGCACTTGTATTCTATGTTAGCTTTGGGCATAAGGTCTGGAAGCATGTATAATTTTTCTTTTTGTCAAATCTTATAATTTGGCCTTCCCAAGAATAGCTTTTGCCAGGAAGTTTACTCTTCCACTGCTGTAAGAATATGTATCTGGGGCTAACTTGCTTGGAGTAGTAATTGTCATAATTGTCATTGAGCTGTCTGTGCTATCCCAACAAGTATGCCTTCCATTGTTTGTGCATGGAGAAATAACCACAATGTTGATTATAATGTGGATATTTTAAAAAAAAACAAACAAAGTACTTAAGGGTAGGTTTTATGAAGGACTCTGTTCTCCTCTGCCCTGGTGATGGAAGTGGTGTCCTCAATAGCTTTCTTTGCTTTCCATGACAGTTGTCAGCAGCACTGGGATTCTGCTAGTCATGTATTTGTTTATGCCCTGGAGACAACTCATTCTCTGTTCACGAAAAGCAAAGCAGCAGTGTATTTGCTGAGTTGTCTGCAAGTGAGTTTTCAGTACCCGTTAGTGTACATGGTTAAGATTTAAGGTACAGAATAATATTTTAGGATGTGAGCCCATGGCAATTTAAGCCTATGCTGTCCCACTCTGTTGCCCTTCACAGTATGTTCCTGTGTTTGTGCTGTAAACTAGCCCTGGCACAGCAGTGCAGCAAGCTGTTTCAGGAGTTGATTCAGCTGAAAACTTAACTTGTAGTATTCCTTTTAGGTCAGGTCTGATGTGGCTCATCTTATGGTTATCGGAGTGCTGGAAAAGAGGGGGCAGAACACAACACTTGACAAAGGGACCGATACAGTATGATTTATGTTGGTGTAGCCTGACACAGAACTACATCTTCAAAACTCTTTAAGCCTTGGTAGATGTCTAACCACCAGATTTGAGATGGCAGGTTTGAGCTTTTGGGAGATGTCTGGGTAGTTAATATATACCCAGTCTGCTGCTTCCTGTTTTGATGCTGTAATGCTGTTGACATTATTGGCACAGTAGCTGAATTTTCACATTCAGAATGGCTGTGACCCAATAATCTGAAGTGGAAAATGCTTGTCCAACAGAAGAAAAGATCACTGGGAACAAGTGGAGAATTTAATTTTGCCCTTTCTAGTCATCATACTGACCCTTACATCTTTCAGCCGCTGCAGGTGATTGCTCACAGATTCCTGCCAAATATTGAATTGAGAGTACTCAAGTGAACTACTAAAATCTTCAGGTCTGTGCAGGTGGAAGATAGAGGTTGCCTCTCTGCTGGCAGTGGTTCTGCATTCTGCATTATAAAGTTTCCTCACAATAGTTTCTGCCTGCCATTTCACTTTAATGTGTGTTCATAGTCCATTCAGTAGTTCTGCACCTGAGGAGTAACTAGGTGGTAGAAAGTCACAGCTTTACCTGGAGACATAACAGTACTAGCCAAAGACTAAACTGTCCTTCTAGGTGAAGGTTGGGCACTACTCCTGACATCTAAGAAATTGTCAGTAGAAAATGCATTTAATGGCCATGGCACTATTAAACAGTTGTAAAGTAAATTGTTAGGTTTTCTTTTTGTTTGAAAACTATGATTTTATGCCATCAATTATATTAAGTTCTGAAAGAAAGAAAACCTGTTTGTAAAAACTGGGGGAAAATTGAGCAAAAAGCAAGTTCTAATAAATAAGTTATAGATGTGAGCTTGGTTTTATCCCTAATCACATTAGAAACCCGAGAACATCCAATTTGGCAGAAGCTAAAAATTTACCTTCTTGTTGAAATCCCAACTGAACTGTGAATGAAAAATTTTTCTTTTTCCATGGGGACAAAGTTTTGTGGGTTGGGGTTTTTTTTCCAATTTTTTTTTTTCTTTCTGTTTTCCATGCTAGAGCCAGATGTCACTCTTTTCATGCTAGCTGTAAAGGAAACCTCACTTTGGGGTGAGTGTTTTTCCTTCACAGTTGAATTGATGGCAATTAGATTTGTTTTCTGAATTTTTGTTTTTAGTCTACTGCTTGAGTAAATCTGTATTTATTCTACAGGATTTCCTGTGGTATCCAGAAGTTAATGGCTCTATGAGGCAACGTATCAAATCTTGGACTGAGGTTTGTATTATAAAAAAATTTTAGGAAAACACAGCAACTGACTGAGGTCTACTACCTTTCTTTGTTCTTTCATGCACACAACTATAATTGCTAGGAGTCCAGTAGTGGCACCATATCATACATATTAAGTCAGTTACGTACCAGAGATCTGAAATTTGGCATCAAAATAGTGAAAAGGGAATGTTTACTAGTGTATATGTTTCTGGGCATCTCCTGGTCTCCCAAGGATGGCTTCACTTGGGCCAAAGAAATCCCCAAACCAAACTAGCAAAACTGTACTTCCTAGGAGCAGGTTGATTCATTGTAATAAGAGCTGAAAGGATTTTTCTCTGATTTGGTGTTTCACTTCCTCTGTGTCTGCGATGGCTCTGCTTTTATGTAACAAAACATTTTTGATCCTTATGGGTCCCTTCCAACTTGAGATATTCTATGTTTTTATATTTATGTTGAGCATTCCAAACTGAAGGACAAAGAGAATTTGGAAAGTCAGGTATATGCCTTGATTTTTTTTTTTTCAATATTTCCCTCAAATTGCATACTAATTATTTTACATGTTTATGATACAGGTTGTCGTGTTATTCAGGATAAAATTATGTATATAATTCTGATAACGATTAACATATTTACAAATTGGCAACTAAATTATTCTTGTTTCTTCCTTTGTTGACCTTTAAATAGACTGGGGTTATTTAGTAATGGCCCCTGGTGATTCTTTGCTACTGTATTGTTTGTTCTTGCACAACACCTTCCATCAAGATAGCTGAAGTTAATCATTCATTTTTCTTGTTCTGTGATTACTGCAAAAAATTGGGAGCTGCTAAACCCTTGCTATACCAAGGCAAAACTCATACTGAGGTGATCAGCACTGTTTAGTTCCTCTTACTCTTCTGTTTGAGTACATACTCTGTTCCTTGTCCTAGACATAACTTTCATAACATTAACATAACATACCCTTTGGGGCAACAACTCTTTGTTCTGTTTTGTATAATTAGTGAATATTTAAAAACTAATTCCTTTTTACTTTGTGTCTTAGGGTTCTATGGCAAAACCTCATATAATTGTAGCAGGAGCTGCCACGGTAAGTTATACCGTATAAGGGGCATTTTCTTTAAGAAGGAAGTTCTAATAGGATAACTTCTATGCTCTCAAATTGGATACATGACATTGTTAAACCCCATTTATAATTAAAAAAATACTCTTAATATGCTGTTAAGTAGTTCTAAGATATTATTGTAGCTGTACAATGTTTGGTACTTGCTTTTTGGCAGCAATGCTTGTTGATAAGCATTGATTACCTTGAACCTAACTAATAAAGTACCTTTGTTAAAGCAGATTATTAATTAAAAAAAGTTAAATAAAAGTTCTTGCATACTAAGATGCATTTTTAATAAACTCAGTCACAAAATACCGCTTTTGAGCATGGCCCAATTTGGAATGCTCTTTTTGAATGCACATATTTATTTTAAACTTACATGGCAGAACCCTTAATTTTACATGCATAATTCAGCAACCAAAGAGATTGCACTTCTTGAGTCTTGTTTTACTGGACGTTTCCACCACTGCTATGGGCTGCAGCATCACAGAAAAAAAAAGCTGACAAGGACCTGAAGAAGTCTCCTAACCTATCAGTTTGCCGTAAGGCAGTATCAGTTATACCAACGTTAACACGTGGCAAGAGTCAACCAATTCTTTAAAACTCCCAGGGACAGAATTCCACAGCCCCCCCGCCCTAAGTAGTCTATTCCAGTAGTTCATTGGTACTGGGAGTCAGGAGTTCAACAACTGCTCATCTTACTAATTCCACATTTAATGTTTCTTACTTCCAAACATTTTGGAACTGGAATTTGAAAGGAACTAGCTGTTATAATTTTACACCAGCTGAAATGTAGAGAGGGGAGAAATGTGTTCCATTTTAAAGAAAATCCTTTGAAAGCAGTTTGGTTTAGAGACAGTTTGGGCATACTATCAGTCTGGAAGCTCCTAGGCATTCCAATCTAGGGGTGAATTCCCCCAGTTTTAGGGGAAGGTCATGTGTGCTCCACATGTTTCCTGGATGATCAGAAATTCTCTGTTTCCTTACAGGTGAATCCCTTCAGTTCTCTTCCTCTGTAGGATCCACATAAATATTTGAGCTTTAGGAATCTTGATGAGTCTAGAATATCTGCTCAGTCTGAGAATCTAGTGTGTCTTACTAGCATGAGTTACTGTATTTCACACAGAAAATACTATCATATATGGATAGTGTTCTGGTATGCACAAGGTCAGGTTGCAAAACTACAGGAATCTTAGCTAAGTAATTCCTTTTTCTCATATCTATACATTAGCCATAGCTGCTTGTCTTTGTGGACAGCAGGAGATATGCACTAATATGCATGTGATGCTCAGCTTTTCATAACACCAATATATTTATACAAAACATAAATAGTGATATCTGGAGTTGGCCAAAGATAAACATCCCCTATTTCAAGGGACTTGCAGAAAAATAAAGTGCTTCAAAACTCTTGACACATCAGCGGCATTACCATTGCTAGCACTAGTGTGGTAACCTGCTACTTGATTAAACTGGTGTGTGCCCTTGGACTTGTCAGCATTTTGAAATTTACCTGTATCTTTATCTTAGCTCTCGGTTTGGTCATGTTACTTTGGACATCTGTCTTAACTGCATAACAGTCTATAAATTAGAAGTAAAGTCTTACAAGCTGGAGAAGCTCCAGCTAGTACAAAATTGAGTTGCTTGCTTATTTTGGGAAAAGGAGATGCTCTGAGAATGTCACTACAGTGCTCTGCTTCTTAGTTCCTGACTTCTTGTTGAATAGAATCTGCTTTTTAAAACATTTGTTTAAATACTGTAGGTATTTAATGAGTAAAGATTTAGGTACTGGGAGAAACTGCCTTTTTTTTTTTTTCCCCAGAGTGTGACTTCTCAGAGCAGCTGCATGTTACCTGGTTTCATGAAGTATTCATTTATATTTGATAATACTCTCAGAAAGTGGATTAATCGGTACTTAGCTTACATCAAAATTTTTAGGTAGATATTTAGAAATAGCTAGAGAGTTCACTACATTCAGGCTAAATTATCTTTTTTTTTTTTTTTTTTTTTTTTTTTTTTTTTTTTTTTTTTTTTTTTTTTTTTTTTTTCTTTTCAGATTTTGACTGAATCATACAGTAATACATTTTAAAAAATGCTAAATTATTTTTCCTACAGTTTGGGAAATACTTTTCAGAAGTTAGGAGAAATTCTTGGGTGACTTTAGAGTCTTGGAGTAGAGTCATAAAACAGTTTGGGTTGGAAGGGACCTTTAAATGTCATATAGTTTAACCCCCCTGCCATGGGAAGGGACATCTTTAACTAGGTTAGGTTGCTCGGAGCCCTGTCCAACCTGGCCTTGAATGTTTCCAGGGATGGGGCATCTACCACCTCTCTGGGCAACCTGTTCCAGTGTTTTACCACCCTCATTGTAAAAAATTTCTTTATATCTAGTCAAAGTCTACCTTCTTTTAGTTTGAAACCATTACCCCTTTTCCTATTGCAACAGGCCCTGCTATAGCATTGTCCCAATCATTTAATGTAGATGATTAAATCAAAAATGAAAAAGGCTCTTTTTTTTTTTCTTTGTGGATATCTGCAAAACAGATGGAAATATTGGAACTTGATACCACTGTCAAGTTTTATTTACACACATCTCTTGCTGGGGTCAGTTTTCCTAGAGTAAAATCAACCAAACTGGCCATGATTTTTATATTTGCTACTTCATAATTGTTTAAAGTCAAGGGGCTTTTAATTAAAATACCTTGCATCATTTAATTTATGAAAAATCAAATATACATTAAGCTGAATATTATATACTCCACATTTAAATGGTCTGTTTGAATGTAATTAACTGTCTAGGCAGCTGCTTAGTTCAGAAGAAATTTTTTAGCATTTTAAATATGAAGACTAAAGAAATAATCTGGCTTTGTAGAAATAATGAAAAATAGCTACTAACGGGGCAATGGAATCGGTAATTAAGGGTCCTCAGGCATACACGTTCTGAATCTCTTTCTTTATTTCTCCAGTGGTCTATCAAGATTCACAATGGCAGCAACGAAGCCCTCACACAATATAAAATCAATATCACTTCAATTGCACCTCTTTTGGAAAAATTAGCAAAAAGTAGTGATGTTTACTGGGTTTTACAAGGTAAAGTAATGAACAGTAGGTAACATTTTGTACTGTCACTGTCTATTGAGTCATTTTCTTGTAGAATATGGAAAACTTAGTGCATACTGCGTACTTGCAGAGTAAAAATTGTATTGGTTGAATTCCAGTTTGGCCTTTCTTCCAGCCTTAACTAGCTGGGACCTAACTAGCTGTTACTAGGGATGGAGATTTTAAAGCTCTCAGGAGAATCTTTTGCCTTCTGAACTCTTAATTCTCTGTTAGCTTTTACTCTTATACTCAGTATGCCAGGTCTATTCTCCCTGTGCTGTGCTCCATACGTGTCTCCTGGGAGTCAAGAACACAAGTGCATTCCTGACACAAACATTCCTGTGTTTCTGTTCTATTAAATTTTCAGATTAATCAAATAATAGGAGAGGTTCAACAAGTGCACCCTCTGTGTGTCTCTGGAATGAATAGACATACTCTAGAGAATATAGAGAATTTAAGTCTCTAGAATGAAACTTCTGTACTGAGCACTGATAAGATTAGGAGCCAGAAATCGTGGTTCACAATGAGTCTGTGAGATTTTTATTACGGCACCAAGCTTACATTCTTTTGCTTTTCTTCAACAAAACTCAAGTATGTCCCTGACACTGAACAGTGAGCTCATAGATAGAACATGCTCCTAGTTCTATCTGCCATAGACAACGTAGCATTTTAGATTATCATCACCTCAGAAACACAGATTTTGAGCCCTGATAGGAATATAGCCAGCTGTACCCTTACAGTCACATCCAAGTTCCTGTCAAAGATCAACAGATTAATCTTCTCACATTCCTTTCAAAACTGTTTATCTATAACAGAAGCAATTAGCTGTCAGACATGTCCCAGCATTCTGCTAATAAAGATCCTGTCCATTTAAGTCATCTCTTATTCTTTAATGGAACAAATACAAGGAGAAGCGGTCTAGGCACACAGAGTTGTCTAGACATTGACTGTTCAAAAGTAGGTGTGAAGTAGCTAAAGTAAATCAATTTACAGCTTGTAGAGCGTTTCCCCAGAATTATGAACATCAGCAGCTTTTCACAGCAATTTATTGATCTCCAGCTGACCTTTTGATCAGGAACCACTTACAGCTTTGTGTTAAACCCTGCATAATTTCTGAAGCCTGTAGGCAATTAAGTAGTGTTCCATTCTTCTGAAAAACTGAGATTCTGCCATCAGTTAAACTAGAATCAACAGCAGCAAGTGTAATGTGCTTATGGACTATGACTGAAGAGAAATGAGAAGCTGGTTTCTTCTGCAGTAACTAGAGGGTTTGAGTTTGTTTTTTTTTTTTTTTAATTTTTTTTCCTCGTGTGCCTATTCTGCTGCCTGTCTTCTGTCCTCTTGGTCTTAGAGTCTTTCCTTGGGGGAGTTCCATTTCTGAGAGAAGGCATAAGTTGCTCTGCACTCCAGCATTATAGGCTTTTCCTGGGTTTTGGGAAATCAGACAGCATTCATGTCTGGCCAGAGCTTTCTAATCTGTTAAGTGCATATGCATGATTAGGGAATGGTGATAAGAACAGTTCATCATAAATAATTCCAGTTACTAATCTGGTTACTGTAACAGTCATTCATTCCTCCCTGTATATATTTTCTGTACAATTAAACATTTGTGGCTACGTAAATGAAAGTAGCTTGTGCAACTTGAGCTAAGCAAATATATTTGTCAGGTAGAAGATCAATGTGCTCATTCTTTGTCCTTTCAAATTCAGATCCGGTTTATGAAGATATGTTGAGTGAAAGTCGGAAAATGATCACTAATGAGAAAATAGATGCTTATAATGAAGCAGCTGTTCGTATTCTAAACAGCAGCTCTCGAAATTCCAAAGCTAAAGTTAAAGTGTTCAGTGTATCAAAATTGATAGCACAAGAAACTATCATGAAGTCGGCAGATGGCCTGCATCTCCCCGAGTCAAGCAGAGATACAGTAAGTGTTTTTATCGCTGGTCAACATTAAAAAGTAATACAGTAAAAGAAGATTTTAAGTGAACATTCTGAAATAACAGACATTATGAATGTAATGAGGACTTGCACATTCTTCAGGAAATGATTCCCAGTAGGTGGGAGGGCAGTCAGTTATAGAATGTTAAAAAAACATAGTAGCAAACACATTAGTCCATAGCTATTTTAAAATAGCCGTTAGTCTGCTAGATCTTTTAGAGCTTTAGTGCAAACTTCATGCCTTCATCTGCATGGTGTTAGGGTGATAATGATTTGTAAAGCAGTGCTAAGAAATAAGTCTTAAATTTTCCCCTGTGTTCCCATATAATTTTGTTTAGTAAGGAGTATGAAAAGGATAAGAAAAACCCATAACATACAACTTCCTGGTTGCATGGAGTGCCACTGACTTTATTTCTTATTTTATCTTCAACCTACTTTTAAATATATATATATGCCTGCAGTGAGCCCCTCTGGGCTTTGTCAGTCTGCTCTTCCTGTGAAAGAGTTCGCCCTGCGTGTCAGTTTTAGTTCCACTTCTTTGCAGGTTTCAGTTGCTTTTAAGTACTGGATGAACTAAATGTAGTCTCACTACAGGCTTCAGTCTTGTTGTCATGTTTTAGAGACTTTGATTGTCGTGCCCCTTTAGGACCCAAGTTTGTGAGCTTTTTTTCATTTAGAGTCTGTTTAGCTCTTTCTAGCTGCTTTTACAGTCAGTAGATAGAACCCTTCTCTTACAAGGATGAGGATTAAGGTTTTTTGCTTACCTCAAGAAGCTTAAGGTTTTCCTGTTTGGAAGAGATGTTTTGACTGTACTGTTGAATGCAACTACGTATATAGGGGTACTGTGAAATTTTATCTGTAATGATAAGGGAGAATTGAATGTTTTATGTTAATACATGATCTAGAAGAAAATTTCTTACGATGAAAATGTTAATTTTTTTATTAGAGATTTATTGACAAAACTGTTTATTTCTTTGACAGAATGCGATGATTCTTATGAACGTCTACTGCAATAAGATAATGAAGCCCATTGATGGCTCCTGCTGCCAGCCTCAGCCTCCTCTCACTCTGATACAGAAGTTAGCTTTCTGTTTCTTTACTTTGTCCATTATTGGATATTTAATTATCAATTTAATTAATCGGAATAATTATCGGAAGAACAAATCATGCACTGATTTGGAAAGTGGAGAGGAGAAGAAACCTGCCATCAGCACTCCTAATGTTTCTACTTTAGAGATGCTCTTACACTCCTTCTGCAAACTTGGTCTAATCATGACCTATTTTTATCTGTGTGACAGAGCAAATCTTTTCATGAAGGAAAATAAATTTTATACACACTCATCTTTCTTCATACCAATCGTCTATATCTTGGTTTTGGGGGTATTTTATACCGAAAATACCAAAGAGGTAATGATCATGTTGATATCCAGCTTATAATGTTATTTCCTAGTTTGAGTGTAAATAACTAATTGCTAAATATTGGTAGTTAAGTTTTCAAAGCCAGTATAACTCATCTGCAAAAAACATACTCACAAGCAGTATAACGTTTTCATGGTATTAGATGCAAAAGCTTTTTGAAATGTTTATGTACGAGCACTTTGAGCCACTGTCACTCAGTCAAATTGGAAATGAGCATAGCTTGGATACAAGAGAGTAGATCACATAAAAATCTGGTAGACCTGTGTCTGCTAGACAGAAGGCTTTTACAATTGAGACCTGTTTACCCACAAAGTAGTTTATTGTCTTGAACTTTTTCTCCTCATTTTGTAGATGTCCGTTGTACTTTTTGGAATAGCAACACTCTTGTTTTGTTTTGCATTAGACTAAAGTGTTAAATAGAGAACAGACTGATGAATGGAAGGGCTGGATGCAACTTGTTATTTTGATTTACCATATCTCTGGAGCAAGCACTGTAAGTGATTTGCTTTTTTTTTTTTAAGTGGGAAACCAATTTGGGTATGTTACTTCAAAAGAAAGATAGTGCAAATGTGTATTAGAATTGGAGAGAATGAATAATTAATAATTTTGTTCTTGTAGTTTTAAAAATGGTATTAGCAGAATGTTTTTCTCTCTATTTAAGTATATATTTCAAGATATCAAGAGAATTTTATGCATTACTTAACCTGTGAAAAAAATATACTTGTTTCTTCCATGTAGAATATTATGTTAATTTATTTTTAATTGCTAGCAACACTTTTTTTTATGTTCTGAACTTGAAACTGCTGAAGGTAAGCTTTCAAAGAGCCCTTCTTCAGTCTCTCTTAACTGGTAATAGAGTGCAGAAAGTGTAAAGCAATGAACAGAAGAAACGCATTTTAAGATCAGAGAGGTTAGAGCACCAAAAGAGCTGAGGAGGAAATAGGGAAATGTAGCATAATGCTGCTTTTCTTAGTTAAACCTGATTTACTGCAATGCAGAAAAAGCCTAAAATAGGGGGAAAAAGGAAAGTCAGAAGCGTTTATGTGGCCACTTATAAAAGGTATTTTATGTTTCTCAACAGTTTTTGCCTGTGTACATGCACATTCGAGTTCTGGTTGCTGCATATCTGTTCCAAACAGGTTATGGGCACTTCTCATATTTTTGGTTAAAAGGGGACTTTGGTGTATACAGAGTGTGTCAGGTAAGAATATCTACTTACTATTTTTATAAAGAAATGCGTTCAAATAACAAATATCTGTACTTCCTAAATGGGGTATCAGATTACTTAACCAAGGTTTGCACATTAAAAATGGCTATTGTTTGTGTGTAATCTGACCTGTTTAATCAGTAATGTTTATCTAATACAAACATAGAACATATAAATAATACTTACAATAAAAATTATGAAAAATATAATTTTGTAGGCTTTAAAATATCAAAACAAATATTTTCCAAAACATAGTAATGGAGTAATGCGGTAGCAATTTCCAATATATAGCAATATATAAGTAATGATCCAGTCAGGCTTCCAAAGGCAGTGTATTGGAGCCTACATTTGTTAATTAAAAACCTTAATTTTTGCACTATAATGAAACTGGAGAACATACCTATTTTGGTGGTTGCCCTCCCAGGTTTTGCAGTGTGTGTGCTGTAGCACTTTAAGAATTTTTAAAAAATATATCTTTTATTGCTGTTAGGTGTTATATGGTCATATAACTCACGTCATTGTGCTTATTAGACGTATGTCTGCAGCCCAGCTGCAGCACTGGTAATGACATCAGCCTAGCTTTAACTGAGCTAGCCCAGGTGGCTATGGGAGTGAAAGCAGAGGCATGAACAGCACCCTGCAACTGGAACACTCAGTCCCCAGTTTGGGGGACAGTCAGTTCTGTTTTACCCTGTTTTCACTGCTATCTCTACCCAAGTAGGGCAGCATAGAACAGATCCAGTACTACATAACCAGCCTGCGGCCTTGTATTGTGCTGTTGATATTCCTTGAGATACTTGCCTATGTTGTAACCGAAATATAATCTGCATGTGAGATGTAAAATTAATCGATATTTTCATGGAGTGCTGAAGAAACCTGTCGCCCATCTCTGTCAGCTTTTACTCCTGGTTTATATATCCTCTTTTTTACCTCCTCTGATGCCCTCCAGGTTTTATTTCGTCTCAATTTCTTGGTTGTGGTACTGTGCGTAGTGATGGACCGACCTTACCAGTTCTACTACTTTGTGCCATTAGTCACTGTCTGGTTTATGATCATTTATGCCACATTAGCTGTATGGCCTCAGATTGTCCAGAAGAAAGCAAATGGTAAGGTTTTTTCTTCCTGCTAGAAAACATTTGCATGTTACTACCATGATAACCATACAGAAAATGGTATTGTTAGTAGATCTCAGTCTCTTTGTAACATAATCAAAATATGCTAAACAGCTGTTCACAGAAATACAGCTTGTCATAGGTGAATTATATGTCAGCTGAAAAATAAACAGCTGATAAATAAACTGTCTCTGGTTACAGTCAGAATACTTTTTAACAGGTTTTGACCATCAGAAATGTGTTTTATGAAGAGCTGTAATATTACTGAATGCAAACTAAAACCACAGGTTACACTATCTGTGGTAGCTGAGATTGTAGCTGTAGTGTACTAATGGGTATGGCATGAACAGTGAGCGTTTAGACTTTCCCGTTCTGCGTTGCCAATATGTCTCATCCATCTTTAGCAGCCAGTCTGCCATATCCTGCCAAATAAGAACATGGGGTTTGTTATCTTAGTATCTTAGATTAAGGGAACTATCAGAAGTATGTCTTGTGATACAGTTATTTTAAATAAAAATTGAAGTGAAATCCCACTTCATTGAAAAGCTGTCATCATGTGATAAATGCTTATTATTTAATACACCTAAATTAGAACTAAAACCCTAAGAGTCTTAGATCCTCCTTCCGTATTGATGGAGTAATATCAAAATCTTATAGTCTGCAGACATGACAATGAAATATCCCAAATGCATGCTAGGAATAGATGTCATAAAAATGTAATCAGAGTAGTTTTACAAAGTATCTCAAAGGCAATAGCTCCAATATTTTTTTTTTTCCTACAGTGGCACTTCTGTTCCAGGAACATAGAAATTACTGTTGTATACTTTGGAGAAGTAGCATACTGTGAAACTAGATCTTTCTATGACAACTTTCACTTGTTTATGTCCCTGTTTACAGCTGCCAATTTATATGACAGGATCTCTGTTGGCATTGCTGAGACTTGGGTAGAGCTTAGTATCAGTCAACAGCTTTGAGGAGCAGTTTCTCAGGCTTCTCTTAACAAGATTCTTGTCCTTAATGACCTGCAGTTGAGCTTCGGAGTACAACTGGTATCTCAGAGTTTAATAATATATTCTTATTTCACATGACAAAAGCTGTTGGGCATTTTGTTTTATCTATTTATTTACATTCATCTGGAATAAGGACTGCCTGTGCAGAGTATTTGGGAAAGCAGAGGCTTTAAAATAGTGTTTCTGCTTGAACACCTAGATTGTTTGAATCTTGTATGTATTTTGTTCCTGTTTTAGACATGAGGCTTAATTTAGGTTTAATAGGTTGTTAATTGCTGTGAATGTTTATTTTAATTGCTTAAAGTAGAATTTAATATGTAAATGTAGATGGTGATAAAATATTGCTGGTAATATTTGAACATTGTCTTTATGAATGCGTCTATTACTACGGATAGCTACATTAAACAATTGGCAGTTATTATTTAATGTGTCCTGGGTTTTGCTATTGAAAAATTGATGACTCTGTACTGATTAATTTATTTCTTCCTCAGGGAATTGCTTATGGCACTTTGGTTTACTGCTGAAACTGATTTGCTTACTGACATTTATATATTTTCTGTCATATTCTCAGGTTTGTAAATTTTTGACTATTTTTATCCTTAACAACCTAATGGTGATATATGTGGTGGGATGGTGATATGAAGATCTGAGTCTCTTAGAGACCTGGTATTGGCTTTGGTACCTTCTCAAAAGACTGGTTCTCATGCTGAGTTACTGACTTATTGCATGCTGTAAGTATAGCTGACAGAAATAAGGGCAGAGTTTGGCACTCTAGGATTTTACAGAGGATTTTGTATGGTCTTAATCCTTCATCGATTTTCAGCCTGTTGAGCTATAGTCTTCTGGAGAGTATGCATTCATTATCCCAACACATCAGTGAATCTCTCCCTTTAAGCCTGTAGTACAAAATGGAAGGTGTGCCAAAACCTTTAAAGAAAGCAAAACTGAAACCTTTTCTCATCTGAAGTATTTTGGTGGTTTATTTTCTTTTGGGGGCGAGGAGAGTGCTTTCTAAGGAAGCCTGTTATTTTGGTAATGCAACGTAGCAAGTAAAATAGGGACGTGATAATATTAAAAGCCAGCATATTGATATAGATTTAGTAAATATGGTTGACATCAGTTTTAATGCTTTTACCATGTTTATTTTTTGCAGGGCGCATTTGAGAAGATATTTTCTTTTTGGCCACTGTCCAAGTGTTTTGAACTGAATGGGAATGTCTATGAATGGTGGTTTAGGTGGAAGTTGGATCGCTATGTATGTAACATTTGCATAAATTTATACTGGTCTTTTAAGTGTATTTTAATTTGACAGGGAGGAAGCGTTGTTTTCCTTTCCTCAAGAGAAAGCAGGAGTTTGTCCCAGTGGATTGTTTAATAGAAGATTCAGCTGCATCCACCTGTCAAAGCCTTGCTTAAAAGATGGATGTTGATTTATTTGCTGCTGGATCCTGCTTAGTTTGATTTTAAAAAATAAAGCCATAAAGTGACCTAGATTTGTCTTTTCTTAAAAATGTAACTGCAAAAATGTTAACACCTGCAGCACTTTTGGCTATTGAAATACAAGGCAAATCATTGTGGTGGCTTTCTTAATAATATTTATTGAAATTTGTATCAATTAAGGATAAATTTCTTTTATGGTAACCTTTAAAACACATTAAAATCAGGGTCTTGATGCCCAAACCAGACTATTCTTGCACATATTTTTAAATGCTTTTCCAGTGGGAAAGTGCTTCCTTTCCAGTTACTGACCCTTTTTTTTTTTTTTTTTTTTTTTTTGCCTTCTTGGTAAGGTAAATGGAGTTTCTGTGATGGGAGCATTTATCTGCTAACCTTATCCATAATGGGATCGCTTGCACGCTTCTCCCTCTGGCGGTCTTTGGGAACTGAAATTTGAGGAGCACACAGTTGTCGCGTCCTGGGCTGCTCCCATCATGTGACAGCGCACACTGCGTAGCAGCATTGCAGACTTGGAGCTTTGTTGCTTGTGAACAGTGTGTATTCTGTGATGCTGCTAAGGAGGAAGTCCTAAAATAAATACAGAAGACAAGCACCGCATGGGCCTGAAATGGCATCGTGTTGCTAGCTAATGAGAACTTGGCATAAGATCATAAAATGCTCTGCTGAATAACTGTGTCTGTGAGAGAGGGAAGCACTTGTAGTGCTTCTTGAATGTTTTCACTTGAGAGAAGGCCAGAGACTCATGGTTTTTCCCCAGTGGAAGCCCTTTTCATTGCTGACATAGATTGCAGAGGGGATAGGAGGTACTTGAAAGCTGCTTGAAATTTCATTGTCGTGTCTTTAATGCTCTGTGAAGCATTTGTAAGAGTACTTTATTTGTAGTTTTTGAGTTGAGTTAAAAATGCAGTTTATGACAACCTAGTGTAGAAAGCCTGTTTTTTGATTGCTTCAGTAAATCAGGGAAAGGACCTTTTGACACCTAAGCTTTGCTATTACAAATAGTTTAATCCTGTGGCATTTCTCTTAAGAATTTGTACCTGAAGTACTTGTAAAAGCCATGAAATAATTATTGCATTCTGTTTGTCTTTTACAGGTGGTTTTTCATGGGATGCTGTTTGCTTTTATTTATCTGGCATTGCAGAAACGTCAGATAATATCAGAAGGAAAGGGAGATCCTCTTTTCTCCAGCAGAGTTTCAAATGTTTTATTATTTATTTCAATTACATCCTTTTTGGTATGTACCTAGTGTAACTAGTATAATCAGGTTTGTAAATCTATCTTAAAGATTAAGTTTTCTGCCATTCTTGTTTAGAAAATATCTTGATTTTAAAAATCAAATCTTGGAGATATTTCATCTGTGTTTTTGTGCACAGCTCTACCTATCTACTTACCAAAATATTTTTTATTTCGGTCAACTGTAGATGAAAACTCTATCTGATGATGAAACATCACTCTTTCAATTCATTGCAAAGGTTACAAGAAAATTGTATCATAAAAAAAATTTGGTAGATAATGCAACTCTTATCTCCATTCCTGATGGCTTGTCTATTCGTGATGAAAGATTTGTCAGCAGTATGTCTGTATCTTAGGGTATGAGTAAGTATGGTATTCATGAGCTGCAAAGAAGAATTTGAGAGAATCACGAAACCAAGCACAGCGTAGTTTTATCTGTTACTGTCCCACATCTTAGTGAACCCACTACTGCTGAAGCACTTCATAGTAGTTTACCTGTTGGTTAATTTTTAAATGTTGCATTTAATTGCTACACAGACTGATTTTTGTATCTTTCAGACCTACTCTATTTGGGCTAGTAGCTGTAAAAACAAGACAGAGTGCAATGAACTACATCCTTCTGTTTCTGTGGTGCAGGTAATTACAATTATAGTCTTTTTCCTTACAGTGATAGAATCGGGATTGTTCTTGTTTGGGCTTTTTAAAAAATTGTGTTTAAATATAATTTTGCTTTAGCATGGAATGTCAGCTAATTGAGCCTCATTCTCGTATCTGAAAGTGAAAAAGGATTTAACTACATTGCTCACTGTCATTGCCTTTAAGCACTGAAATCATGTACTGCGATTATGCTTTTGATTAACCTTGATGTCCTTAGTGTGGGTTTCATATGCACTGTTTAAGTCCAAACTCAACTTTTGACTAATTGCATAACAGAGGAAAAGGCGGCGGCTGTAGGGAAGCATGAATGTTTGGCAGGTATTAGTGTAGGAAGCAACCTATGGGACTTTGTAGTCACTTTCAGGCAGAGAAGAGGTAGGCCACAGGGGTATCCATGTGGTTTTCTTAAAATTCAGATTTTCCTCTTACTGTGTCCTCTGCTCAACTATACCCTGGCTGTCTGATTCTAATCTTTTTAATGCCCTCTCTTCAGGGGTAGCATGTATGACTTAATTTTTTAAATTTTAATTTGTCCATCTCGACACCTTCGCTTTTAAAATTGAGGGTTAACTCTGGTTTAGGGCCACCTTTGCTTTAGGCTGGCATGGTATAACCTGTTCTGTGAACATGCCTAGTAAGTGTGTAGTACTATCTATGAACATCAAGGCCATGATTCTCCTGAAGCTGTAAATGTGACTTGCTACAGTGTAAGAATGTGTGTAAGAGATTTGCAATTTCAAGACCTAATTTGTTAAGTATTAACATCAGGGATATTTGTTTGGTTTATATGTTTACTAAAGTTTAAAGAAGATTTAGTGCGTGATTCACTTTAGACAGTGAAAATAAATAAGCCTTTGAGTGTGTGTAGTCTGCTTGTCATCCACAGTCATTTCTCTTTTACTTTTTTTAAAAAAAGATTTTAGCTTTCATCCTCATCAGGAACATTCCTGGGTATGTCCGATCTGTGTATAGCTCCTTCTTTGCCTGGTTTGGCAAAATTTCTCTAGAGGTAAGTAGAATGATCGGAAGTACAGAAAATTGAAACTCATGACATGTGAGGTGGTTTTAGTATCTGAATTATAGTATAATACACAAATAGTGAAATCATTTATTGGCTTATTTAATACCATGCTGTTGTGATTGACCTTCTTTAGCATTGTAGGTTCCATTTACACTTACAAATAACGCTGAAATGGCAGTCTGACAGTAGCAAACTTCTTAATGCTGTTTTGGGGTGGGGAGCTTAGGGTTGTAAGAGTGGGGATTTAATGCTGGAGTAAGCTGTGGTCCATATGCAGTTGGAAGATAAACATTTAAGCCAGTTGAAGAATCAGCATGAATTATAGTGACTAATGTGAGTACACTTATAAATATGCTTGCCCTAGAAAGCTTTCTTGGATTAGTAAACAAACAAAACCCTTCTAAGTGCAAATGTTCTCTCGTTCCGTTGAGCGTGTACTTTGAAACAGTAGGAATTATCTTGCTTATTTGCCATTTTGCAAATCAAATGTTTAATTTTATTGTATTACTAAAATATATTTTAGAAAGGGAAAGGAACTTTTAGGAGAAACTCATGGTAATACGATGCATATGTAGTGTATGATTTTGAACTTTTTTGAAAGAATCACAGTTTCATTGTTCTGATTCCTCATGAGCTTTAAGGTGCTGATCAACTCCAGGGACCTTTGCTTTCATCAGCAGTTGAAGCATTATCTTTTATTTGCATTAATCTTATGATAGTTCAGTTCCTCACCAGAGATAACAGTAACTAAGTGGAGGTGTGTTCCACATGTGCTCTGACATGATGTAAACGATGCTCCCCTGTGCTGTATTTGGTTAAGGACTAAACAAACCCTGTTTACTGTGTACTGTAACAGACTAATGTTTTCGTCTTACAGCAAAGATGTGTGGAAAACAGCTTCTCAGAGTGAGTTATTTAATCGTAGGTGTCCAACTTAGGCAGAAGTACAGTGTGCCAGTTGATGCAATAGTAATAATTGTATGTTTTTGTGTAAGTAAAAATATTTTAAGTATTAATAAACACACTCTTTCTTTCTTCTTCTAGCTTTTCATTTGCCAATACCATATTTGGCTGGCAGCAGACACAAAGGGCATCTTAGTGCTCATTCCTGGATATCCAATGTTTAATGTTCTTGTCAGCACTTTTATATTTGTGTGTGTGGCACATGAAATTTCTCAGATCACTAATGATCTAGCACAGATTGTGGTTCCTAAAGATAACTCAGCTCTGCTCAAAAGGTTGCTATGCATAGCTGGATTTTTTTCTGGACTACTCCTCTTCTCAGCAATGCAAGATCAGTCAAGGCATTAATTTGAAAGATTCTTGGAAACTTTCTTCAGGTTTACTTTGTATCTGCCTGAACAAAAATTCTCAACTGGATGTACAAGATGACATTTAAATTAAGTGTGTGGAAAATGTATATAGTGCAAATGTACATATTTTGTGTGGAAATAGCCTTCTCAAATAATCTGAGAAACAAGTATGCACTGTACAGAATTGCATGTGAAAATGAGTCTTTTCTACTGGATATATGTTTCTGTTTACATATCTGTTGAAACATGACACAAAGTGAAGTTAAGTGGTTTAGCAGTATCATGTGCTTATCACGGAATTAACTTTACCTTGGGTCAGCCAAATGAAGAGTGGATGTTACTGGAGTACCGCCTGTACACAACACGTGCTGTAACCATTCTCATCAAGGAGCAAAAAAGAGCAAACTTGTGATCCTCTGTTAATGGTCACCTTTAGCTGATGTGAAACATGAAGTTACTGGTAAACCAGGGCATTTTTCTGATCAAAATGGTAATTTTTTGTTTAGAAATAAGTATTTTGGGTGGAGATAGTAATATGTTGTATGAAACCCTTTATACGTGGAAATAAAAAGTCATCACTAATTCAGTGATTTAAGATTATATACGTTTACATAATATTTTAGGGTTTTTTTTTAAAAAATTTAAGATGTTCTCAGAAAATATGGTGAATTCTGAGGTGTAATTTTTAATGTAAAGAAAATTTACTTTTTTTCCTCAAAAAAATTGTCTTTTCATAAATTTTCCACTCATTCATTTAACTATGTGCAGTTTTCTGTAGAGTCCCAGTGAACAAACTGATCAATAATTTTCAGAGACTGAGTTCAAGATGAAGAATTTTTGGAAGACCTCCAGCTTTGTTCAGTCAGATAAAATTCCATCATGTCTACTCCATCAGATCTTAAGGAAATGGGAGGGGATCAGTGATCTTCAAACCCCTCTCTGAGTTTCTAGGTGACCTTGAACTAGGTCTCATTAGGGAACTGGTGCCATATTCTATTCTGTAATCATATTTTCATTAAAAAAGATGCAAGTCAAGGATGCAAGTCAGCCTGTCCATATCACAAGGAGGAGGGATTGAATGGTTTTCTTGTTGCATACAGACAGACCAGTCTCAGAATTACAAATTAAATGAGATTGGAATTGTTTGGAGCAACCTTTTTTCCCATCCTTTTTAGTAGTGCCCATCTTTATTAACTCTTTCCTTTAGCATAAAAAGTAAAATTGAAAGATGTAACCCTACAATTACAAGCTGTAATTCACGTTCCATTTACTCAGTGCAGTTTGGTCATTTCTTTGCTATTTGTGGTTTTGGTTCAAGTGATGTTTGACCTCTAGCTGCTTTTTCATTTTATACTTCTACTGATTATTTGTTAGCAGTCAAAAACACGAGCACAATATTGTTTTCCAAGCATATGTGCAATTATATATGATTATAAACAATATGAATCCTAATTTGTACTGTATGTACTGTCACATAAATGTTTTATCTTATCCCAGTCAAAAAACTGAATTCGAACTTGCAGCTACTAATGAGTGCAAAAAACATTTCTGAAAAGAATGGCTTCAGTTAATTTTTTTTTTTTGTGGAGAACAACTTCTTTTAAAGAATCACCAGTCATTCATCATAAAAAAGAAAAAATAAATCATTCCCTTCCCCCAAATTCAGCAGTTTTACTAAGTCTGCCAGCTCTTTCAAAGCTATTGGAAGGACCCTCAGCTATTTGTTCTTTGTGTGCATTACTTCCAGTGTTTGAACCTCCTTGGTCAGAGTGCTTGAATGGCTGAAAGGAACGGTATGGGTGAATGCTGTAGTGGGGGATAGGATGCATACCCTTCATCTATGCCAGTATTACAAGCAATGGGGAACTTGTGAGTTTGAGGAATAATTTTTGTTTTGTTCTTCACAACTTAAATGTTGTAGATATAATTTTATTTATGTTGTACAGACTTGGTTAAAAGATTTATTTTTAATGTTTGAAATAATGCACTTGTTTATTATTACTGTATGTGGGATAAATATATTTTCTTTTCAGGTTATGTAAAAATACGAAGTAATTTAAACATTAAATAAATGTGCTGTGGATGCTTATTTTTGTAATGGGAGCAGCATCAATTAAGTAAAAACTTTTTATTGCTTGACTCTAGCTGGGCTACAGTTCACTGTTATGCCTACCTTAAATGACAGATTCATATTGCAGTTTCTCAGAGCGATATTCTGGATACTATTACTTCAAATGAGGGGTAGATACCCACTTGTATTGCGAATTAAATGCAGTGCAGGAAGAAAGATTCTTCTGCAGTACATTTACTGATGGAATTACAGCTGCAGTAGCCAAAACCACCCCTGGAACTCAGGCAACTTCTGCAGAACTGTGCAGCAGAGGCATCAAATACTTCCCCTTCCCCACCCCCAGGGTTACAAGCTAAAAACTGCAGCAGGAGCTCTGCATGAAAGCCTGGCAACATCAAGCCTTAAGATTTATTTGGTTTAGGAATTGAGCATTTATTTTACCTACTTAAGTCCCATACTAAATAGAAGGGGCTGCTTAAGCACAGGATTCAGAGGGGTAGTTCCTGTCCTCAAAGCTCCTTGTATCATCGGGGAGATAATACTTAGTTCAGGTCCCACATTAAGTGGTGCAAATACTCTCCATCCCTTCCCTCTACCACACCTATTTAGATATCTCCCCCAGTGCAACAGAAACCCTGCACAATTGGCTCCCTTTCAGTTCTAGATACCATCCAGTGTCACCCTCTGTAACATTGTCACACAAAGTTGTTCAGGCATCATTATGTAAAATAACCAGGCAGCAACATCACTACTTAATGTTTTCCTGTTTATTAGATTTTACATTTCATATATTTACAAAGACATCTGTAGTGTTTTCTATTTAATTTGGTTGCAACTGTCACTTAATACAATATCAGTTCATACTGTCATCGTACATCATTAAAAGGCTGTGAATTCACTGTTTTAACTATCGGCACTTTTAACTTACTGATTCTTTAGCCACTGTCATTAGCCAGCTGTATAAATCTATACTTCAATAGTAGTTATTTTAATAAGTAAAAATAAATCATTTGTTGGTAAACTTACCTCAAATGAATGAAGCTTTCAATCATAAAACAGTTCAGGTGTGCTCAATACTGAAGTCACCTACATCATTAGATTCTTTTCAGAATAGGTGGAGCACCCACTGGTACAAACTGATTCTTTATGCATGTACGGAACAGTTCAGGAAATTTCCTTAAATATGTTTGCACTGTTACGCATTAATACAAATAAGCTCAACTGGTATTTGATTGTCACGTCATCCTCAAGTTACCAGAAACTGTTAGGATCCAGAACCAATACTATTTACAAATTTTAGTCTTACGTTGCATTAAAAATCATTGTTTAAAATCTATTCCATTCATTTCTGTTTCAAAGCACTTGACAGCCTGTATGTTTGAAAATAGCAGTAGAAACTAATAGAAACTGGTAGAAAGCAAATGCTGATTGTACTCAAATTTTTCACAGCTTGGATAAGAGAGGTAAATGTTTAAATTACTTTAAATCCCAGTGCAGTTTTCTAACTCACTTTTCACGGATAACCATCCAAGCTGCTGGAAAAAAGGAGGGGTCTCTTGAGAGGCTGATTGACTGGTGAAAGCTCTTCCTTGGCACCTTTCAGATGAGGTAGCCGTGATTCACGCCACTTTTAAAGAAGTAGGAATGGCTCTTTATTCCAACTGTTATAAGAAACTGACTTAGTTTTCCAATTTATAGGACTACCTTGAGCTACTTCTCGTAGTGTAAACACCACCAGCACTATTCCTATGGCTAGATGCACTTGTTAGCATATTCTATGGGTTGTGTTTAGGACAGCATTGTCCTTGCAAACTCAGGATGTTTAGGCTTGACAATATACAAGTATGTACATTGTACTGAGCACTGATTATACACTTTGCTTCAATAGTTACCATACTTAGAGCACAAAATGTGCCTAAATAACAGCCTAGGACTTGTTTTACTTGTTTAAAAGTATCTGCCAAAGTGTTGCATTCCAGTCCAAACCTATACACACATTATTATGTTCATTTTAAAGCAAATGAAAAAAGGGGTTTGAGTTTTAAAGAACAGGGTCATAACTGTTAAAAAAAAAAAAAAAGAAAAGCGCCAGTGCCTACTTTCCGGTGCCTACTTTGGTCTTTCTACAAACTCTAACAACCTTATTTTACAGTTTCTTTTTAGCCTCAGCCTTAAATTCCTAAATTACTCAGAATTTCTCTTAGCAGAGACCTGAGAAACCTCAGCTAGGGAAATGTAGCCAGCATTTAGCAATTTTAAAGCAGACGCAGCTTTCTGCTTACAATGCAATGTCCTGATGAACATACAGCTTCTGAAAGATAAAATACCACAGAAAATACAAAGCTTAAATGTCAGCTTAAAACAGTATGATGCTCTGAGGTAAAACCCCAAGAACTGTGCACTGTTACAGCTGGAGACCCTGAAGTCCTGTTACGCTGTATTTGAGGATTTAAAGAAGTATCAGAAAAATAATTTAAAATATGCAAAACAATGTCAGGAGATAAATTATCACCATCTATTGAAAAAGAAGGAAACCTCTGTTCAGATCCCTTTAACAAAGTTCATGTTACTAAGCTTTCAGGTGCATAGACAAAAGCCTTTCAAAGTAGCCACCTCCCGGAAAAGTATTTATTTAATCAACTCCTTTTTAAAATTCTCAAAAATAATCCTTGGTTTACTGGTTAGTTAGTTCTCACACAACTCTTTTTGCTCCAGAAAAAAAGAATGTGGAGGCTACAGAAAATAAACTGCATCAGATAAGGAATATCACCAAAAAAATTTTAGAGTATTTTAAAGAGTTAAAAGTTAGTCCATGTATACCGTAACAAAATTTACCCTTGTTTACTGGAGACATTAATTTCTGCCTACAGTAGTTTGTAATAGTTTCTTCTAACACAACCAGATGAATGAATGGACAGATTTTAAATGTTTTATTGCTTACAAGTTGTGAAATAGGTTGAAGTTCTAGTGAAGGAACTGAAATCCAATTTTCAATAGGAATACTTGCAGGTTTTTGTTTTGTTCAAAAATAACTGCTTATTACATTTTGATAATCTCTACAAAATTAATGCCTAATAAATCTGGAATACTATTTCTGAGCCTCATCATATTGCACAAGTTTCCATGCTTGTACACTACTGCTTTTTGTGTGCAAATATAAGGCAATTATATCATCTCATTGAACAAAGCCTGAAATCCTTTGAACCTAGTGCTTATTTTCAATTTTTTTTCCCCTGTTAAAACTTTCAGGATAGATCACAAGACAGAATAAAGTTGGATATTTATTAATACATATATTTGAAAGAGTATTTTCTGAATGTAACAAATATAAAAAGTTATCAGTGTTTACAAATTGTCAAAAATGTCCAAAGTACAAAAGGATACAGTACATTAGTTATATGGAAGTGATTGTACTCTCTGGCACTGAAATCATCTTAATACTGTGGGCATGCACAATATACAGCAGAAAAATTCATGCATCAATCAGAACAAATAAGGAAATAAGACAATTTGCTGCCTTCTCTGATTACAAATTCATTGCTTCTGTTAGTTTTCTTTCCTCAGGAATACCATTTACCTGCAAATAGATGAGAGTTTATATAAGCCATCAGTGGCAGGTGATGCTTCAACAATACTGAACTGTCAGCTGGTAGCACAGCACATAAATAGTATGTATTACTCCTTAATCAACCATCACATTGGAGAAACACAAGTACAACCTGGACCAAAAGACAACATATACATGGAAAAGCTTTGCTTGCTTTCTTATGGGAAGGGAGAGATCTGGGAAAGATTGTTTATCTGGAATTTATTTTGATATTTGGGATCTAACAGACTTCATAGAGAGACTGTGAAGCTCAAAATGGAAAATGTAGTCTACAGTATACATGCACTATTTAGTCTTTTGCATTATAGGAATATTCCATAAACTTTTTCATCTAAGTACCTTAAAACAGTCCTCATGAACTTTGCCAATCAATAGAGACAATTATAAAACTTAATATACCTTTTAATATTGGAGTAACAATTTTCAGGAGTATAATAAAAATGTTAGATGTGAGTTGTCACCTTTCACATAATTCTTTCCTAATTATGTTTTAACTTTGTGAAATAGTTGAGCATTATGTCAGCTATCAAAACTGCATTTTTATATAAGGTTAAAAAATGTTTTTTCTTATTGGGGATTCAGATAGTTCCTGAAGAGGATAGTGGTTATTAGATATGGTTTGCTCTTCAAATTACTAAGTATGATCTATGGAAACTCTAAACCAGAAATATCTTATTCATGGCGGTGACTGATAGGATGTTAATAATCCCAAGTATATTATTGAGAACTTTCTATAAGAAAGGAAAAAAATTAAACAATGACCATCTAGTTCTATAGGTTTTTTGGCGTGAAGTGTTTTATTTCTGTAAATTTCTTATTTGAACACATCAATAAAACGGATTGCTAAGTTTGTACTGATGCTACTAAAAAAAAATAATCTAACAATCACCTGAATTTTGTTTTAAATTGTGACTTTCTAAAAATCTAACCTGACAACATGAGTCATAGATATCCTTTAGAAGATAAACTGCAAGAGGCATATGCCATCATGTCATGGAAGTGCTTACAGTGTCACCTGCACATCCAAGTTACAAAGGAAGGTGTCATTGTAAAGTACAAGAAGAGGAGGAAACGTCTGTCCCGAGTACATTTCCCCCCTCCGCTCCCATTTCTGAGAGCTTGTCACAGCAGCATCTATGATGAATATGAAAGAACAAGTGTATTCTAGCAAAATAATGCACTACAGAAAATACACAGAAGGATTTTTAAGATCTATATTTATGACAGTTTTTTTCAGTGCGACCTGCAAACAATAAGGCCATGCTATCTTGTATTTCTTACCTCTTAAAAAATTTCTCACTGCTGCCAACATAGAGTATTACAAGGTGATTTCATATCTTTTTTTTACTGCAAGACAAACTGGAATTCTTGTAACAAAACAGTCATAACAGAAGAGCTGAACTGTAAGACATTTTTATTTTACCTTCTAAACACCTGCAGTAGTGCGTGTTAAGAGCTACGCTAAATGTCAACCCAAATCAGTGCTGGAGGCACTGGAATGAAGCTTTGACCATCAGGGTCATCTGCCATTTTCAGTGCATGTAGAATAAAGCACACAAATATCAAAGCTAGCAGAACTGCAGTCAGGTTTGGTTATTTGGTTTTTGTTTTGTTTTGTTTTATTTTTAATAAATGTGTTTTTAATTTCCAAATAACAAAAAAACCCACATGGGCAGAAGCATCTATTATATACTTGCCTCCAATCTTTGAAATGTTGTCATACGAAATTCTCCTTTAATCCCCGAAAGCAGTAATGAAGAAGAAGGATTTTGAATGAAAAGAAAGAGTTGCTTATGTAACTCCTAAGTTAAAACAAGTCTTCCTCTTGGAGCTGTAGTTCCCATGTTATATTCAATACATATATAGAGAGTTTTGCCTAAATACCTCTTTGAATATTCAAAAATTATACTTTGGCCTCTACATTCTCCTTGTATGATCCTTATCCCCTTTCACATGTCTATCCCTGCAACCAGAGAGAACAATCAGCCTTAGTCTGATGGGATCATTCACAGCCTCAGTCAGTACATCAGGATTTGTGACAATGACGTAAAAGCCATGACTAAGACACAGGAAACCCGCAGCATGGGCATGTGCCTCACCACAGATTCCCCAATATCAACTCTGTTTAGTAACAGCAATAAAGAGCTCCTTCTTCAGAGCTTAACTAGGATTGGTGGGAATTAGAAATTTTGATTTCCTATCAAGTTTTAGAGTGTCTGAACGGTGTAACTGCATTTGGGAATCCAGCTGCAGTTTCACCTTGTAACAGGGAATTATTTATATGAATCCTGTACCGGATTTCAGTGTCTCACACCGAGTCCTAATGTAGTATAACTCCTACTTGTTTAAGCAATCCCATTGCAAAATGTTCACTGGTGTTATCACAAGAATTCCGGAGCGACAATGCTGTAATACTTCACTATATTTGAAAATGGGTTTCCACTGTCCATAGACCGTATACGTTTTAACTATTGATTCCTCTGCACTGGTCACTTAATAATTACCGTATTTTCTCAGTACTGACCTGCAGTCTGCTGCTGTGGAATCTGAGTCTGATGTGGCAGGTTCCTACAAAAAACAATATCTTTGATGCTTCCATACAAACTCTGAAGTATTTTATGCATAAAAGTTCAGAATTTAAAATCTGAGGGTTTGCTTACAAAGCAATAATCCATTTTCACTATGCAAATACAGTTGTCAAAAATTATTGTTAATGGGTAGTTCCTATCATTGTAATTGTCAAGTAGGTTCAGAGCCTCATCAGACCTGGTGAAACATCAGAGGTACAAGAGTCACTGGAGGCTTCTGTTATTATGCAAAGTTTGGTTTCCATAAGTGATGAGCAGAAAAAAGATGACAGTTTTGAAACTCAATTATTGACTGTGAAATGAATGAATGGTCAGCTTAGTTTTACACATTGGACCAGTTCACCTATCAAGACAAGTTACATTGCTGTGTCCTGCTTAAGTGTCTATTTTAACAGCTATCAGATATTAAGACTGCTTTTAGAGATAGGAAATAGGGGTTGGAATGCAGGTGAAGCAGATAACTCTATGTACAATGTCCTCTGGTACAGGCTTTAGCACCCCAGTTGTAAAAAATGGCTATTCTGAACGAAGAAGAACCTGTAAAAGACAGGATAGAGCACTTTGCAGCAGTTGTACAAGGGATAATTTATACAGCCGTATTTTCTTTAGCTTTGGACAGGTAGAAGAAAACTCTCTTCTAGCACGTATCTACATTATGAAGGGTATTCGGGGCAACCGTGTAAATTAGGGCCAAGTTAGTGCTGGCACTGGACCGGTATCACTGGGGCCATGCAGGGCCACCAGCCGAGGAGCTACTGACTGGAGCCCGTGTCATAGCATGGTGCTGAAAAACACCAGCCACTTTGGACACCGCTGCCTCAGACCTGCTAAACCGCAGAGACCTCAACCAAACCTTCCTAGAAATTGCTTTTTTCTACAGCACTACCAAACTGTCTGAATTAGAGCACATTCAAAGCACTGTCAGTCTGTCTCCACAGTTTCATTAGGTTACTGATAAATGAACTTTAAGGAATAGAAATTAGTATTTTTCTGGTTTCTGTATTCGAGAGAGGCTGGCAACAAAGAAAACAGCTGAGAGCTCTGAGCATTTTCACTGGCAAGACTGTATTTATTATCTATGTAATGGAATATGCTCTTCTGTTCAGTGTTAACATTTCAAACATAAACTATGTGTGACAGATACATGACTAACTACTTACAAAGTCTGGATTTTCTGTTATGAAACTGCCACCAACCCAGTGGTAGTTTTATACCAGAACTCCAAAGGCATGGGTTAAGAGGCAGGTTGTCTAAAACAGGACAGTTTTAATTGATTCCCCTGTCAAAAGTAGTTTTTCTCCAAAATATGCAGAAATGGAACTGTTCCTGGCAAAGCTTCTTGCCAAGTCTGCAGACTGAAACCCAGTCATTTAATTCTATAACAGAAAGCCTTTTTTTCTGCTTGAAATGCAAACATCAGAGCAATCTTGAACTAGAGTCATTACTGATACCTCTATAAACAATACATTTCAGATGACAAGCACTGGAATCTGTAGTTAAATCATGCAACATAATGCATATTAAAAAATAAAATCTAAATACTTACTGCTGTGTTTGCATCAGAGGCATACTGGTATTATCGTAGCTGTCTGTGTGAAGGGGTGGTACAATCTCACCAGTAACTGGGTGAAACACAGGAAGCGTTGAAAGAGGCCATGCTATCTCTCTATTTTTAGACATGTCACGAAGCTCTTTGGTTGATTTCTGTATAGCACTGTGGTGGACCAACTGGATGCTATGTCAAAAGGAAATAAAATAGTAAATACATATTTTAAATGCTCTACCAAAATGGATAGACTTTTACAATTACTGTTTTTCTTAAAAAGACAAGGACTTTGATGCATGCTAGACTCTAGATTGCAGCAATTACAGTAAAATAGTTAATTTAATAAATATTGGATTTATTTCATTTTTTAAGGCAGTAATTATTCCTTGAGATTTTGCTGTCTGGATTAGTATTTTCTGTAAGATCCAAGACTGTGCAATTTATGGCTAATGTTCCGTTTATATGCTGCAGTTAAAATAAAAGTTTCTGTTAACTCCTGATTCTTGTGGTAGATTCATAAAAACTCAGATTAATTTTAAAACACCATAGTATAGGCACTGGATACCTTCCAGGATATTTGTTCCTGGGCACTGCCTTTAAGATGTAGGCTGGGAAGTCCAATAACCAGGAGTATAAATTACATATTAACATATTTATTCTAACAACACTACTTTATTTTGAATTGACAGCCATTAATTTCAAACCCTTTTTATTCTGGTCTTCTATCCTTGCCAAGACTGATTTAAAAGCAGCTTTCACATTTATGAATTAAACCATGAATTAGAGAGAATGGAAAAAGATTATGACACACATGTATGAAGCATGACAAGCTACTGAGAATGAAAATTAAATGGTAAAAGAAAAATAACAGGAAAGAAGACACTTACTCTGGTGTTTGCATGTTTCTCTTTTCCCTAAAAACAAAACAAAATTTATGAATTAAATAATAGCATTGATAGTTGGAACATTAAATCTATCTGATGATGAAAGTAGTACATGATGTAGAAATGCTGACAAGGTTATTGCTAAACGCAACTTGGCAGCATTTGCAACTGGTTTTATGATGATGCCTTGATGAACGCACGTATAGAGATGTGATACTGATGAGACACACACACAGACACACACACACAGAGAAATGAAAATGCAAGTTAAAGAACAAGCTTCTGGCTAAAATAAATTCTGTGACAAAATGAAATTGTAGTTTGTGTAAGAAATGGCAGAAATCACGTTACTTGCTGCTTTCCTTTTATGATTTTTTTAAAAAATAGTGTCTAGATTCAGTTCATATCCTCAACCAGATTTATTTTATAAAAGTTAGCATTTTAGAAATTACTTACTATTTTCCTGAATCATTGATCCTTTATTAGTATTTTATTTGTTTGGGGCATTTTAGAAAGTTGTGCATATGTGGAGATTTTGTGGAGTTTTGCGCATACGTTGAGGTTTTTAGCCCTTTCAACTAGAACAGTTAAAGGCCCTGTATCCACTCTCTTGGAAATTACTGTATGTGCTTAGATGAGACATACTTCAATATTTCAAGCAGTTATCTTTTGGCCTATTTTAAATGTTTTTAATGAACTGAATGAAATTCTTATAACACATTTTCTTCTATGCATTATAATCTTAGAAAAATCAACAATTACTTATTAGTGTGTTAAAGTACTCACACTCCTTCCCGTCGGCAGCACATGATATAGGCAAGTATTAGAAAAAGCACCAGTGCTATTGCCGAGGGCACTGCCAGTGTAATTAGGAAATCCGAGTAATAGTCTCTGCTTTTCAGTGTATCAGAAGGTGGCTTGTATTCCCCACCATCAGGTAATATCCCCTCTCCGCGAATCACTTCCTGAAAGGTGGAAACTTGTTTTGTATTGTCAACCTGATACCCGGGGGTGGGGAAAAAAAAAAGAAGAAAAAACAACACAATTATATAACAAAGTAACAGAGTGTAAAAACAGGCAGTATTTAAACAGCTATAACGTATTAACATATAAAAGATTTCATATTACACATTTGACAAATTCTGTACAATTTCATCCAATCATTTTATTTTTAACCAATAAAACCTTACACATCGCTGAAGGCTTCTGATCAATGTTATAAATAATATCACTTTATTACTTTATCATATTATTACTTTATCTTGTGCCCACCAGAGATACTATGTTTTTTACAGATTAAGTTTAGGGATATCTCACACAAACAGTATTTAGGTAAAAACGCAGTAAACATTTTTATTGCAAACTAATTATTTGATACCGATTTCTTTTTGATTAATTAATCCATTTCTTACTAGTCTTCCTAAATAACAATACTGCCCTCTCTTGTATGAAGGTGGTAGAGATGAAAAGTGGAGTACCCATGGGTTTTCTTCCTCCTCCTTCCTAATGAGCCTCTCATCCAGTCCTCAAAAACGCAGTGAGCATGAACGGAGCTGCTGAGGACTGAGCAGCTCGACTGCCTTCCCCCACCCACTTACAAAATGTGCATTTAGTTGATCAGAGACAGAGTTCCAGAGTTTTTTTCTACCTTCTATTTCAACTAACCTCCAGAAGGCTGCATTCCTGGTCACAAGTAATTTATTTATTTTTTTATGTCTGTATCTAACGTTTCTAGAAATGCAGCCTTTTTTCACTACTGACTTTCACACTGCATTTAATTGACTGCCTTTCCCACGTGACTTTAGAATCTTCTGTCTTCATTTTCTTGTTATCTTCAGTTAGATATTACTTTTAAATTTTATCAGTTTTAAAACCCTCTCCAGATTATTAATGAAAATATATTATATTTGCCTACAGTCTTGACCTTTTTCCTGACACTGTTCATTGAGAAATCTTGCAACTGATGGTCATCTCTTTATTATTTACTCTTTAAGCTATAAAATGGTGTATTAGAACTTATGCAATGGATGAACAGATTTTCATGGCATGCTAGAAATAAAATTTTGTTGAGTTCCAATTACATACATATATATATATATGTAAGTGCAAGACAGTTTGACAAAAAATAATGTATGTATTCTCCATGCATTAATTACGCAGTATCTTTTATATTAGGTACACCAAGTTCCACCTGGCTGCTTAGCTGAATCTCTATCCCTAAGCAACACACAAAAAATATTTACGCACTTACTGATGTAACAGAAGCTTATATATGGTACGAGAACAAGCTATTGCAAAGTAGTATTAAGAGGAAGCATGTATTACATTGCCTCTCTCTTCAGAATTTGGGACCTGCAAACTTAAATCCACTCTTTAAGTGCTAATCACCAATGTCACCTCATAAAAAGTAGGAGGAAGGGGATATGATGGTTGTATTTTCACTCACTGGTCTATGATGTGGTTAAGGAAAATGAGGCTCAGCTCCCTCCCAGCCCATGGATCTTGGAGGACTTCCTGCCCCTTGGCTTGCCTTATGAAAAGCAGACTGTGATTAGATAGAGGGAAGCTTGGCTTTTTCCCTTTGATCCACCAGGTTACAGCATGTGCCAGCAATGCTGTTGGCAACACTTAACACCCCAAGACTGTTTAAATTCAGCTATCATGGTACGCTGCCAAAACAAGTGCTGAGTTCAAGAAGGTGGCGTTATAGGCTGCTGCAGAAAAGGACACTTCTCTGAGAGCCTGTTCCCATTACACATCCCAGGGTGATCTCTGCTTTCCTCAAAACGGCACAACAACGCTGTTTCATGATTAGTTTATGAGCCACTGTTACTATCGGACGTTTTTTCTGAAGTACTCCTAACCAGCTGCTCCTCATTCTGCATGGGTAGTGTTGATTATTCTTGCATTAGTGCACTATTGCTCTGCTGCTCCTTTTCACCATTTTCTAAGGCTGTTTCTCCAATTTCTCAAGACTTTTCTGAATTCTATCCTGTACTTCAACGCACCTGCAGACCCTTTCAGTTTCATGGGGACTGCAAATTTCACTTCAAAAGCATTTCCACCATTCAGCTTAATAATGAACAACAAGAAGAATTAATAATTCTACTATGATTACAGCTATCCAACCAGCTCTCTGCTAGGTCCTAGCTTCATCTAGGTCATTTTCCTGAGGTTATGAGACAGTATCAAAAAATCTTACCAAAAAGAAATGACATCTGCTGCTGCACCTCTGTTCTACTTTCTTGTAGAAGGAAATCAAAACTTGACACAGTTTGTTCTTGACAAAGGCTGACTGCCTTCTACTGTTTTTCAGGTGCTGGTAAGTATTGCTGTATACACATGTACCTTTTGCAATTTCTCAACAGAAAGCAAATTAACAGGAAATAATCTGGATATTCTTTTGAAAACAAGTATTTTCTAGCTTTCTAACAGCTTTCCTAATTTACAGTGTATAGAAAGAAAGGGCTGGAAGTTACCTAATCAATTTTGTGTATGAATACCTTTTCTCATACCCAATACATTTTTTACATTGTATAAAAGCCGTTCATATCTCCCCTTCAGTTTCCTCTTGAGCAACATCTGAAGTAGCTCAACAATCATTTAAGTTTATTTTATGTACCTTCACTGTCTTTGTTCAAACTTACCTGCAACATTCTCTTCCAATACTCTATCATTTCTTGATTTTCATTACTGGAACTAAACAATAACCTTTAAAAGCCTCTTTGGGAATTACATTCCTTCCATGGCAAATAGTCTAGTTAGTGTTCGGTTATAATTTTTCTTGTATTCAACTGAGAAGAATGTTCCCATTTATTTTTAATTTATTAGTCAACACTATTTTCTTTTTCTATTTCATTTTTAACATGAAATACGTTTTAGACAATTTTCAGAAAAATTTTTTTAACAGCATAGAAATGATATTTAACTGGTCAGTGCTGTCGACTCAGTATTTGAGAACACACACACACACACATATATATATACACACACACACACACACACGTTATAGGAAAGTAAGTGTAACTAGCAGTATTAGCACACTGAATTAACAAACTATGCCCACCTAAATAATCCTCTCAATACTTTTAGTTCTGTAAGCCCTCTGGCCATTTATATAAATTACTGCTAGTTAAAAGGAATATGGTGGTTTCACTGGTGCTCAACTTAATAGAATTTAGCCTACATAGCAAAATCCTTTCACAATCTTAAGAGTGTCTGCTAGATGGAAAACAATGTCAATCAGTCATGATAAAGTGGAATTTGGCAGAGTTGTTTGGCCAGGCTGGAAAAACTACTACCTCAGTCACATCTGGCATAAAATATTGTACTTCTACAAACATCACTTTTATGCAACAATAAAATAACTCACCAGAGAGATTTTACACCAGTCAATGTGGAATTGAGTACGAAATTTTTTATCACAGGTTATTACAGGCTCCATTTCTTGACTGCATCTCAGCTGATTTTGTGGGTTTTCCACTTCACGTAAGCACGAAGAGAACGGAACATCTGCCCCAACCATAACATACACACTGCAGAAAGAGATGAGTGACAGACTGTCAGGGTACCTCTCACAAATCCCCAAAGAACAACCACATACTATTCCAAACATTTATTGTTCATGGTAACATTCAGCTGTGATTTAAAGACTAACATGATTTTAAAAAATTATTTTTATTGTGATAGCATACTTTAAGCATACGAATAACAGACTGAAATCAAAAGAATTTTTCTATCTGCTTCTTACGACTTACTCTGTTTTGCTGCATAATGTAAATGTTTGCTTACCATCAAAGTTGTCAATTTCTATGAAGTCACAGAGCTCCAAGTGTAGGTTCCTCACATAAGTAAATCAGTACTACTATTGAAAATTGCATTAAAAATAGTATAATTGTATATTAAGGAAATCTTCAGACCTGCTCAGCACAATTTTTTCAAAAAGTTTCTTCCCATGTTTTCAAATAAAATATATTAATATGAACCTGCCAAAGCCCCCAGCTTCTCATTAAAGATTCCATAATGTAGCTATGCATTGACAACAAAATTTGCAGAATACTGAAAGCTGAATGTAAACTTAGTACTTCATTTAGCATTACAATACAAAAATAAGAGCTACTGTGCTAACTGTATTATTACTTTTCATATTTAAATATGCAGAATGCCACTGGAAAATAACAGTCTACTCCACCAGGTATAATGTGCCAGTGAATCCTGACACAGAAATTAGGTCCTGGTTGCCATTTGGTATGTTAGGCATTATCTAACTAAACATTCGAAATGTAGCCACTTGTATTACACAGCTCTGCTATTACTCTGGTTAGACCACCTTTAGATGTGCTCAGAAACTCAGAAAAGGCCTCTGAAACAACAATCTTCTCTGCACACATCTCGGATTTGGAACCCTTAGCCCTTTCTTAGATATTATTTGACACAAGATATTGAAAAATAACTAGGCATCTTTATTTTTGCCAGGAAAAAAGCACTACCACAACCATATTCTGAAAAGACTGAATCATTATTAGTTTTTAATTGAAGTATCTTGTTGCAGTACAGAATTTATGGTTATGAATCACAACTGGAAACAGTGAATTCCTGCCGTTTACGCTCAGTAACCTAAATTTCCCAGATACTTCAGCTTACCACATTCGGATGAAAGCCCACAGTCCTCTTGCACATAACTAAATTTCACTGAGTACAGCTACAAATGACACTGTTACATGCTAAATGCTCTTGGAAATCTAAGTGTTTTTGTAACCTATGCTCTGTAACACCTTGTTTCAAAATTTTGGGGTTTGTGAATTGGGAACTATTGAATACTTGAAAAGTATGCCAAACAACTGTTCAGAAGACTGGAATTATAAGCATATTTTCTACTGTTTTATAATAGAATTTATTTGTATGTTTTATAATTAATAGAATTTATTTGTATCCCTTGGATTGTAAAATCTATGTATAGAAACTGTCACCTATTGAAATTGTATCTAACATGATAAACCTATGGTATCTACCATGTATCTAAACATGTACCTAACATGCTAAACCTATGGTATAAAGGGGGCTTGGAACATCAGTAAACTTTTCATATCTAATACCAATCTGGATTTCTAAAATATAAGACAGTAATTGCAAGGATTCTAGGAAACCTGAAAAAATATTAAGCTTTTCAGTAAGAATAAAAAGAGTAGGGCAAAAGCATTAGACTGACACATGTGCTTACCCCTCTTTCATGTCATTAATAGGAAGTGGAACTCTCCCTCCCCTGTCGAGGGCTGAAGTAATGTTTATAGCATTCAAGCGTTCCGGCTGCCACACATTTTTCACTGCTCCAAGAAAGTCGCCAAGAACTTCACTTGCTAACATTTCTTCTACGTTCATATTCCTTATGAAGAACTCCGCTTGATACGGTAAAGGAAAATCTAGTTGTTATGAAAAAGGAAGAGTTTTGCCTTAAACAAAGGCTCCATAACAAAGAATGTGAAGTAATGATTAATGTAATAACACTTTAAGATTGATACACCTTTCCAAAAAGCTTGTATTTGAACTAGCTAATTTTGACCATAATATGATTATGTTTAATTAAATAGTACATTAGCTGTTACTTAAGCTGAAAACCATTGGCTATTTATAAAGCAACTGGGAGATGAAAGAGCGGACTAGTCTCAGCTGGTAAACTGTCATTAAATATAACATTACATTCAAGTTAATTTTGCGGTCAAAACTGATCTGCAGTGAGAATGGATTCCAACCTGCAATACTCCAGACTATAAATATGTAAATGATGAAGACAATTTTAAGGACACAAACTATTCAATTTTTTTAAACTGAAATGTCCATATATGCCACAGTCTGTTGCTTTCTGAATCTGCCTATATGTTCCCTGCACAAAGAACATGCAGAAGTAAAGCAAACTAAACAACATGCAGAAAGAGAGTAAAATCCTTCATGTAAGATCCATTTGAAAAGACAGGGAAAAAAAATAGAAATTAATAAACATGCCTTTTTTTTTTTTTTTTTAGTGAGTAAGGAATAATGTCTTAACACAAAAACATTAGATAATAATAAATTGAATCTAAAGAGGGAAACTCTCTTCCTTCCTCTTTGTGCCCCACATTTGGCTTGAATACCTATTGAATAACTATTTTACATTAATTTTTTTTAATCTTAAAAGGGGACCATATGATGTTTTCTGCTTATTCAGTTCAAAACACAAGCTATTTTCTGTACATACCTTCCGCTGACATTATATTAATTATCAAATTATGTCTTGCTGTCTCAAAAGTACGCCTGTTATATGCAGTGATCTAGAGTTAAAAAGATTGCAAAAGAACAATGCAAATATGAAAATCAGATAAATGAAACATCAATGAAAATAAAGTTGATAACTTAGAAATACTTATCACCTCTTAAATGCTTTGCCTCCTTACTTGGGAATGTATGAACATTCATTAATACAAAATCTGTAAGGTAAGATCAATTTATTTCATGCAGTACTACCTTCAAGTCATGATACTGGAATTTCCTCAACTAGTCTATAGCCAAATACAATTGTCCAAGGGATATATGTGAATATAATATATTTTGGTCCAGATAAAAGTGTTCTACCATACACATGTATTCTTTCTTTTCTGCTGTTTTTGATTTAAGGACAACCATAATCAAAGATCAGTTTCTCTGTTTTCCCCTTCCACCTTCCTCCACCATGTGTAAGACACACTTTCATTGATATCTCGTAGTGAACTAAGTATCTCCTAGATGGAGATTTTTAAAGGAAAGAGGGCTGGGACCCCAGCAATTCTAATCTTTGGGACTGGGATTTAGTTTTAGCTCTAGCCCCACTAAAGTAATACTCCATGAATGGATTCACAAGCATTCCCCCAACACAAGTAGTTTTTTTAAAAATCATGGATGATTGTAGAGGAACTGAAAACTAGTCAGTAGATGCAACACTCATGACTTCTTTTTGGAAGCTTATGTCAGAGTTGTCAAACATTGGAACAGGCTGCCCAGGGAAGTGGTTGAGTCGCCATCCCCGGAGGTATTTAAAAGAAGTGTAGATGTGGCACTTAGAAACGTGGTTTAGTGGTGGACATGGCAGTGACAGGTTATGGGTTGGACTCTGTGATCTTAAAGGTTTTTTCCAACCTAAACGATTCTATCACTGTGATTCATGATCAAATTATGTAAGGATACCAATTTTATAGTTTAAATGCGTAAGATGCCCAAAATGCTCGCAAGTGGTTACTTCTCAGTGGTAACTGTACTCCAAAGATGTACTACGACCAAGTGCTTGTTCCTAAAAAATGCAGAACAAGGCTGGATATCAGTATAATTATGTATTATTTTATCTACTTTTTTTTTTTTTTTCCTGAAAGGTGATAAAACTTTCATGAAACAAACTGGAAAAGACTAACTTTTTTCCTAATTTTAGATTTTAGTAAATTCATTTCAGGGAAAAAGGAGAGGCAGAAGAGTAGCAACAGAAAAAGATCCATGTTGCTTCTCAGCAGAGCTGCAAACCATCGTGACATCGATTATTAAACAAATAAAAATTAACAGAAGCTGCACTTCTTTTAAGAGATTTAAATGCAAAGGAAAAATGCTCTGGAATACCTTCTGCAGGTTCATTTAAGTATAGATGGAAAAGCTTATCTGATACAATTACATCTTATGTAATGTAACAATTTCATTATAAAATTAGAATAAATTCCTCAGATTTTTCAAATCCTCAATTCCGTTATTATTTTTTCAAAGGGTTGTTTCAACAGTAGTTTAAAACAATACTTAGAAAACCTAATTTTCTGGTTGTACAAGCTTTATACAGGAACATGACAATAAGCACTCCAAGTCTGCACTCCAGCAGTGAGAGCTGCCAGTGTGGACCATGCACCTGTACGAGTAATAGTGACAGTGGCAGAGACTGCCTTTGTACTGAACATTCACTGAAACACAAATCTTCTTTGCACAGCTTTCAAAGAATCTTGAGCTCAAGAACATTACTCGCTCTACTGCAGTGCTATGCATAATGTTAGGCTCTTCTAATCATGAGGTCTCCTCCAATTAATTGACCTACCCATGACATCACCTCAGGAATCACAACATGATAAAAGTTATATTCAGGCCAGGAATATGCAACTGCTTCTCTTGGGTGGCACTAGGAAGTGGATCAAATGCAATTTGCCTCCCTCACGTACTACAGAATTAATTTAAAAGACATATCTGAGAGAGGACTGCAATGAATTAACTTGTATGAGAGGCAGGATTTAGTTCTAATATAGGCTTGGGGTCATGTTTATAATAAAGGTCTTTATATAGATCTAGAATATAAAAGTGCATGCCATTTAAAAAAAGGGCGATTTTTAATAACAGTTTCCTCTACAGAAAGCTAAGTGGAGTCTGCAAGTACTTCTCCACGTGATTAATTTTACAGATGTGATTAGTCCTGCTGGAATCAAAAATTAATCATGTATATAGAATTAAGCATGGGTGAAATTATCTACAGTATAACTTAACATTTAGAGATGTCATTCTTGAGGAAGAAAACTGTATCAAATGCAATTTAGAGAAACAGAAACTCATCAAGGGTTTAAGAAAACCATACTGCTGAAGCATCAAAATGGCTGGAGCATGTTAATGAGATTTTCCTTAACACTGTGAAACGACACAGTGTCTGATTCAGTCTGCCGTCTGTGATGTACATGGCAGAAAATACAGTCCTTTTTCCCTTTCAATTGCTGCTTAATGAATAATTGGTGCTTTTAAACATTTGTATAGCTAATTGTCAAAAATCAAGTGGCAGGTTTTGTCATTGTTACATTTATAAGAATAGAAATTAAATACATGTAAGTGTTAATTAAAATTAAATTTATCAATAAACATGAATAATGAACCATATAATAATTTGATGAAAAATAAATTTAATTAAAAAAAAACCCCAACAAATAAACCCAAAATCTGTTTATTGATGGAACTCTGTATTTTCCTGTGGAGAACAGTCTGGCCCATATTTAGGGTAGAATATTACAAAGTTCAGAATTCAGATATTCTTCAAGTACAGTTGTTCACAAAGGCTTTTTTCCCCCCTGTATTTTGAATAGAACTTTAATTAATTTGTAATTTACTGAAATGAAATGCCTCTTAGAAAGACGAAGGGCAAGAATCTAAAGGTAGTTCACCTAGGAATATCAAGCTTAAATCATTAGTGCTATTTACTAATTATATCTTAAAAGTAAAACATGAAATGTCATACAACTTGTCTTTCTCTCAAAATGGGATGCAATGGTACCAAAGAGAAAATGTTATGTCACAGGTCCTTCTGTTCCTGCCTTATAATCTTTCTTTTTTAAAAAAATCTGATTAACTGTTAAAAAAAGAGGCAAATGCTTGTTGACAATTCTGAATCTTATACTCTAAAACAAAAGAAATATTTTGAACCTTTAACAAAAAATACCTCAATGATGGTTGGTTTGCCCACATTTTCTACAGTTGGTGAGCCATAGAGCACTCCATCACTGTATGGTGTCCTTTGTATATAGCGTAGCCATCCAGGTCTGTCTGGGTAGCCCATTAAGTTGGTATTAAATGTTATAGGATCATTACTTATTTCACCTAGACAGGAAAAACTACATTAGAGTATTTACCAGAAAATACCATACACTTTCATTCTGATGTTTCCATTAGAAAATCTTATTGTCTTCTAAACATTTCCAAAACTAAAAAAATATTGCTAACCTCCACCATATCAGAAATACGTGAACTCCTACTTAGCACTTGTAAGTGTTAAAAAATTCATATTTGAAAAGTGTAACCAACTGCAGAGATGAATGTGTTTGTACTACTTAGAGAGTCCTGGCTGTGTGCTTGCACTCATTAACTAGTAGGTCTGATTTTTAGAGCTCCGTTCCACCTAGAACTGAAGCATCTAACCTCCTTACTGACAAAAGCTGAAAGTTCTCAGTCCTTTAATTCCCAAGAAAACCCTTATTTTATTTACATTTTAAGAACAGCTCTGGAGACCCAATGTACCAGGGCAGGCTTACTGTAAAGAGTGGCTGTATAATCATCAATGTCTGAAAGCTTCTGTTAGCATCAGAATATACATACAGGTCTTCAGCACCAACAACCCGGCAGTAGTTTTTCTTTAGAGAAAAAATAGTTTCAAAAAGACCAGACATTCCCGCAAAATGGATCCACTGATGGCTACTAAATACAATGGTCCAGATGCAATCTCTACAAGCCCCAGAAGTTAAAACCAGTACAACAGTTTTTGTGGTTACTGATACGCTTACAAATGGCCAGATTTGACTTCTGTGTATTTTAGCTTTTGTAAGCTTCTGTAGTGTACGCATTACCAGATCCTGACCAGAGGTCTAAGCACCTTACAGCTGAGGCACGGAACTCAAGCAAATCACTCAGCCTGTGCAGACACCTCTGCAGTGTGCTCCTCCAGCTCAGCTTTGAAATGGGAACAGCAGCAATTGTAGGACAAGTGACAAGAGAAGATGACAAGCCGGCTGGCACAGAAGGCAGAAACCCCCCAGCGAAGAAAGAACGGCTGTCATCTCCTCTGGAGGGGAACAAAGTGACTGAGACCTGTTGCCAAAGGGCAACTAGTTTTCAGGTATACATTTACACATCTGGCTGTGGGTAAAAGGAATGCAAACCACACCAACCCAGCACAAGGGTATAACACAACTTTGCTCACGATTCTCTCAGGACATCCCAGTAATGTAATCTATTTCATTCATAGTAGAATTCCCAGCATCACAAATGATTTGTGGAAAAAAAATTCTGAAAGCCACCTGTGATACATTCTGGTTTGCCCTTCATCAAGGTAGGCAATGTGGACAATCCAGCAGAGCAGACAAAAACAAAAGGGCTGTGGTAACAGCTGGCCTTACAGTGAATTTCTGATATGATCACAACCATCTACGGATACAATTTCAGCAGTATCTGAAATCAGATTCATATTGCCTTTGAATCATATGAATGTCAAGACAGGCTGGGGCTGCAAAGACTCAAAACACAACCCATCTTTAGTACAATTTCCAGGTTCCTTCCATCTGTGTGTCAAAATAGGGAGAAAATGGGACTGAGGCAAACTTCACTCTGCCAGTCACTGTTATATGAAATGAAGACCCAGGTATACGTGCTAGGAAAAGCAACCATTTTTCAAGGAGAGGAAATTTTTAAAACATCTGGTTTTATTCATGACAAAATTTAACCAATGCTAACAGAAGCTTGTTTTTTCTTTAAAGTGAGTTTTGAAACTAGTATTCTCAATTCAAAAGCTTATTAATGAAACAGGCTTTGATTATGTGTGCACAGTACATTTATTGTAGCTTTTTTCCTATTTTAATAGGAAAATAGGACAGTTATATTTATCTAAATAAGACATATGTATATATTTATTATTCCTTTTCATTGTTGATAAGCATGTGGTGGCAGAATGTTCTCTCCTTCTCTTCCCCCCTCTCTAGATTGCTTATATATATTCTAACTTGCCAGTGATCAATCCTTTAGGTTTGCCTTAGGTGTACGTCAAAACTCCATACTTAGGAAATCACAACTTTCTCTAAAAACAAACTGCTTATTAATAATAAACTGTTCTTAAATATATGAAGAGGGCTGAATCCAAAGGAGTGTTTGTTTTAAAGGAAAGAAAACTTCATTACGTAGTCTCACATTTGACTTAATCTTCTATTGTGTCTCAAGGTTATTATATGTTTTCAAAGCACTCCTTCACATAGCCTAATACATACTACATCTGAAACAGTGACCAGATAAACAGCATTTTTAAGAGACATATTAAACATCCATGATTTCATATTTAATGCAAAAGTGAAAAAGTATACTTCCTATATGTAAAGTGTTATCACGCCTTCCCAAATTATTAAGCACATTTTTCACAATACACAATTATATGCATCTTTTCCCAAATGATGATCACAAACCAGAACATTCTAAATTTGTAGGACCACATACGCTATTTCATTTGAAGATATTTCAACAGAAACTAAAAACTGTCCTATGTACGCTACATGCCAAACTCTAAGGTGTGCGAAATAGACATGAAATTTTTAAAACTTTTTTTTTTTTTTTCCCCTACATTTTTATATAATATGGAAGATGTTAGCATCCCATACCAGGCTTTGGGTAAGGAGGAAATTCCCCCTTAAAGTACTCTCTCTCCAAAACATGAACAAAAAGAACTCCAGCAGAAGGGTATACATTCCGATCAGAGTGCACCTTAGACAGAATCGTGTACACTGAAAAGCAGAAAGGAAGATAAGAGACAGAAAAAAGCAAATGAGACATGCTCTAGATAACACAGCATGCATTTCAATAGCAATGTGGGCAATCTGGGAGAAGGAAAGCACGAGTATTAGATACCTGTTAATAAATTTTTAAAAGGTTGCACAGATTTAGGGACAGAACACAGAGCAAACCCTCTCTCTGCCCAACAGGATCCCTTCCAAAACTGCAATAAACAAAACTGGCTATGTTAGTATTTCAGAAGTTGCATGAACCCTTTATTTCTACTGCAATGAAAAAAAAACACCAAACAGAGAGGCCACTGTAATTTTATAGTTGGTTTATTTGTAATATTACATGAATAAAAATACATTAAAAGAATGATACAATTGTGTTTTTCTGATATTTTACATAGAAATAAGGAATATGAGAAACAGAGGAACCTTACCAGTCGATGATACTGATTCCTTACTGAATGAAAATCGCAGATTTTTCAGTTCTTATACAGAAAAGGACAAAGCAATTCACTTCAGCTCAGGATTTCTATGAATTTTTAAAGCCAGACTTTCTTAGACCCAGCAAGTTCAGTTAATGTACATCTAAAAATCTGGTTAGAGAGCTTGTTACTGAAGATGCTGTGCTTGTTTTGAAGGATAAAACAGAAGAACATGGACAATTATAGGCCAGTCAGGTGTCACTGATTCCAAACAAAAAAATGAAGCTGTATTTTAAATGACTCAGAATGAAAAGCCTAAAGGAAAACCTAAAAGAACAACCAGCATATGTAAAAACAATATGCTATTTTTTATGCAGTTACAAATTTAGTTGTTAAAATAAAATCTTATTTGGGTATAACACATTTGGCACAGCACTATATAGACATTTTAAAGAACTAGAAGAATAAAAAAAAATCAATGATATATTAAATAGGTAAGAAACCACTTTATCGCCATGTTTAAAAATTTAAGTATAAATGGAGAATACTGATCTAAAAGGTGCTTCTCATGGTGTTTTAACAAGACGCACTGTAGGTTGTACTACTATTCCATACTATTCTTCATTTTTAAGTCAGCGTCCTGAAAGAATCAATCATTGCTGATAATTTTCATCAATGAGATGAAGATTATACAAATGGTAAATAAAGATACAGATGCAGATATACATAGCTACCTGCCTTGCTTGCTAAACTGAAAGAAACTTTATGTGAAGTCACATCTCCAAACAAAGATTACAGGCCATACAGCATGGGGTAATGTCATAGGGAAAAGCAACTCCAAAAGAGATTTCAGAGTCATTGTAACAAACTCATAGGTACAAACTTGTACCTCCTAGAAGACAAAGTGCTACTTTCAACACTTGGATCAATAAGCAAAATACATTTGAAATGTGGCTCAAACTGGTGTAATTTTCTAATCCTGGTATAACTTCTGCAGCCTTATCATTATACCAACCTTCTTCCTTGAGATCTGCTTAAAAAGCCACTGCTAATTAGGCATTAATCAGAGACATTCCATCCCCTCGCACCACGTACTCCGTATGGAATCTATCTCACCTAATTTTAGATGCCTTACAGAAACAACATCCACCACTGAGTTAGTCAGGCTCCTTTTATAGTCAGTGGAAAAGAAACAGACACTTCTAGGGGTTGATTAATTTGATTTCTCCTGTAAAATTAGATGAATCATGTCCTAGATTCCTGACTACACTGACTAGATCTCCATGGACTGCAGAAGCAGCTGAGAGGAGATGCAGACATTTGTAATGTAGTTCTCTACATTTAGTTATATACTTCCCACTCTTCAAGCCTGATGTTGCAGAATTAATAGTCTCAAGCTCTGGATATACTATTGATCAAATTCCACAGCAGCTGCCTTCTCTCACTTTTGGAAACCACTTTTAACACAGTACTGACAAAATATCTCTCTAATAATTTTACCTTAAAGAAAAAAGTGGATCCTGATATTTAAATAGGTTATTACAATTTTGTGTGGTTAATAGTTACTGTAATTTTAATTATGTAGACTTGATTTAAGTACAGTAACATAGCAATTTGGTTTGTATAATTAAAATTTGATGACCCAAAAAACTTCTGCACTCACTTCTGTGAACGATCTGTAAATAGAACAAGGAAACTAATTAATTTCCTTTAAAATATTTTTAAGAAAGCTGAAAAAGTAATTAATAACATTAATAGAGCAGAAAAGCTGACAAAAATATGGTGGCTGGCTGAAAACAGATCAAATATCTAGAAAAAAAAATCCATTTTTCCATTTCTGATGCTTTGACTCTACAATGAAAATCCATTTCAAACAGGAAGAACAGTAAAAAAGTAATGTATATTTTCTCCATAAGCAATAGTTTTAGAAAGGAAGAATGATAACAGAATCATCAGTTACTGGAAAAAATCCCATGTAACCTTTTTTTTTTCGTCAGAAGAAATCTATCGCCACCACTAAATGCCTGCCCGTTCCTAGTTAACAAGACGTTCTCTGTTGCTGGAGTAAGCATACCAATAAGGATTTCATGCAGATATAAAACAGTGATCATGGTGGAAGCCTAAAAATGCCTCTTGAACGGAAAAAAAAACCATAAACCTATTTTATCTTATGACAAACACATTGTAAAGACACAAGTATGGAAATTAAGAATTTGAAAGTTCTCACCCCCCTTGTCAGAGAAGCTCTCTTCTTTTTCCCCTATGAAGTTTCTTCAAAATCAGAAGGGAAATGATGAGTCTTCAGCCCACTACAGCAATCACTGCTTTTCAATAACGAAACAAGTGAAATGCTATTTTCTTCAAAAGCTTTTAAAACCCACAGTTATTTTCATAAGCTTGCCTGAGACTGGAGATGAATGTGCAATCATCTTAGGTGATCTAGGGATGAAACTGAATATACTTACCAACTTCTAGATACTAATCTCATACAGCAGACTGCCAGATATGAATTGCCTGGGCAAATTCCTTGTGGAAGATAAAAACCTTGGGGACTGTGAAAGGCTTCTCTAAAACTAACAGGGGAAATTAAAAATCTTCACTACATAGGATTACAACCGATTCCGGCTGGGAAAAAGACAGTATCAGCTACCTCAACAGCGGTGTTTTCTTCCTTTGTGTTTCCAGATCCCTTGGGGGACTTTCTGTAGATACCAAGATACATCTGTGCAGAAAGGTTAGAAGTTCTGGAGATTGTGAAAGTAGATTAATTGGGAACTGAAGGTTCAAAAATACACACCACTTTTTCAAATGTGTATAGAAATTGTCCCGGTTGTTGTTCTTGTAGGTCTTGAACATGGGCACAGCCAGGAATTCAGCTAGGACTGTATCAGCCTCCAGCCTGGAGCCTGTTATCAGACACAGATAACCCCCATCTTCAGAAATTTCAGAAGATTTACCATGTTGGTTGAAGACTCTATGTTGATGATCTTCAGAAAAAAAAATAAATCTAACTTGAATTTTTTTCTGGCAATTTCAACAGGTTCTCTCCCCATTGATTTTTAGCAGCTGAAGCACAACCCCAGAAATAACCTGATTTGGGGCCAATCCAGACTGCCTGCCTGGATAGGCAATCAGCACAAAGCCTTTTCTCAACTAGTATACACTAACTAAAATATTCTGTGTGTACTTACATACGTAAAAAGACTACTTTACTGTCATTTATGCATATGAAAAGATTTTAATTGTTACAGACAAGTTATTGTATTAAGCAAACTGCAGAGGTATCTCCAAGCAACCAGCCGTGATAAGAAAATGTGCAATATTAGGTATACACACAGCCATTATTTTAAGCAAAGCTATAGGAACAGAAAAAGTTGGGGAAGACTCAAAGACACACAGGTCTGTGAATGTTTAAAAGATTGAAGATATGTGGAATTTTCCAAAGTACTTACCTTGAAATAGCACCTTATTCCTAAAACAAGGACATGACTGAAAAAGCAAGAGTAATATTAAAAGCAGATTTGACTGAACCAACATGGGATTTAAATTTACAGCCTAAACTCACCATTCTTCTCAACAGCCTTTATTCTGCTGATAATATAACTGTGGGCTTGCTTAGTCGTCCAGTTAACTGTTCCACTATTGCCATCAGCAGAGCTTAACAAAAAAGCTTTTCAGAATAAAACAAACGCAAAAAAAAAAAAAATTAGTCAGATCAACAGACTCCCACAAACCAAGTATCAGATGGGATCAGATGCCTTCTATATCAGGTTCTAAACTCAGTTCAGAGTTTAGAAACCTCAGGTTAAAAAAATGGTGGTGTTTGATTTGAATAAACACATAATAATCTTCCTGACAGTCACTTTTTTCACGCTATTTTTTCCAAATAAGCTAAGTTTACATTAAACGCCTAAAACTCTGCAGACACTTCTGCTGACATAATTATACTGATGAAGATGATTAAGAGCATTCTCTGATAAATATATTTGCACTGACAAAAATGTAACATACAGGTAAAGACATATCTAAAGTTACTTTCACTGGCATAGTATGGTTTGACCAAAGTAGAGAAAAGTAATAAAGTCAAGAGCACAGCTTTGCTTATATAAGCAAATCATCTTTATATAAAGACACATGGGGTTGATCACTTTGCCTTGCAGGCATAACCAATAATCAATTTTGAAAAAAGAACCAGTTAAAAATGGTTGTCTTCATCCCACACAGCTAGAACACAGCCTGAAAACAGCTGCATCAGTGAAGCTGAAGGTGCAGGAAGGTTTAAATGTGCTGAGGAGCAAATGATTACAGGAGCCGGAAGGCAGCTGTGGAGCTGACAGAATGACTTTCACCAGTAACAGAACTGCCTGAGAAAGCTCCCTCCTCACTTCCCACTTTTTGTTCTTTTGTTCCCTTTCTTCTGTGATGAATAATAGATATATCAGCTGTTTGTATAGTTACATGCCAACTGAAAGTGCAGAGGGAAGGAATTTCAGTCAGATGCTAGTAAAGGGAAAGTGGCCATAATAAACAATCTTTCTTTTGAAACAGTTTGGGAGCAAGAACTCACATCAAACCCCAGTTAAAAAGTATCATCAGATCAGCATCTTAACTTCCTTGTAAAAATAGTAATTAAAAAAGCCCACCATCAAGTAGCAGTACTTGCATACAGTTTGCAGAAAGAAATGAACACTTATTTACAAACACTCAAAGTATGCAAATATCACAATAGAAGCTTAAACATCTTTGAAGACTTCTGACAGTTACACTGGTCAGCTATTACATTACTGATATCACGTCCTCCAAACAGAATTTAGGAGGCCCAACAGATCTGGCTTAAGCAGTAGTCAAGATACACAAATGCTCAATCTATGCATGTGAATGAGTAATTTATAATGGTAACACCTAAAACAGAATTGAGGATGAAGGTTTATGTGCGTGCGTGTGTGTGGCAGGGGTTTTGGAGTGGGACAGGCTACAGTGGTGGCCCCTGTGAGAAGCTTCTCAAAGCTCCCCCAGCTCCCAGACAGACCCACCTCTGGTCAAGGCCAAACCAATCAGCTACAATGGCTGTGCCTCTGCAGTAACGTATTTATGAAGGGGAACCTGGGTGGAGGAATTGGAGTTGTGAGGAAGACACCTATGCAAACACCAAGGTCAGTGAACGAAAGGAGGAGGAGGAGGCAGAGACTCCCTTGCAGCCCGTGGAGGTCCAAGGTGAAGCAGATGCTGACCTGCAGCCCACAAAGGACCCTACACCAGAGCAGGTGACTGCGCCCAAAGAAGGTCAGGACTCTGAGGGAAGCCCACACTGCTGTAGTTCAGCACTACCGGGAGGGCTACAATGCGCTGGAGGGACCCATGCTGGAGCACTTTGTGAAGAGCTGCAGCCTGTGGGAAGGAGTCATCTCAGAGAAAGTTCATGGAGGACTGTGTCCTGTGAGAGGGACCCCATGCTGGAGCTGGGAAATAGTGTGAGGAATGCCCCTCAACCCCCGCCTGAGGAGGAAGGAGCAGCAGAGACAATGGGCAATAAACTGACCACAACCCCCATCCACTGAGGGGGAGACGGTAGAGAAATCAGGAGCAAAGCTGAGTCCAGGAAGAGGCGGGGGGGAGGGAGGTGTTTTTAAGATGTGGTTATACTTCTCACTGTCCTACTCTGATTGTTAAATGTTGGTGGTGTTTGAATTAAACTGATGTTCTTTTTCTTCCCCTAATAAGTCTGTCTTTTGCCCATGACCATAATGGGTGAGTCATCCTTCTCTGTCCTTATCTCGATTCCCGTCTTTTGTTTTATTTTCTCCTCCCCATTCCTAAGGGGAAGGAGTAAGAGCAAGTGGCTGCAGGGTGCTCAGTTGCCTTCTGGGCTCAAACCATAAGTGTAATAAAAAAAGCTACACTTCCAAATTACCATACTAACAGAATAATGTTTCTAAATTACAAATTTCTGTTAAGTTTCTTTGATTTCAAATATACAAAAAGGATCTGATTTAATAAAAAGGTATTAATCCACACCCAGTGTTTTACATGTCCTGCAAGATGGACAACTTTCTCCCTGCTGAACTGATCTGAATACATTGCAAGTCTTAATATAATACCATCCTAGGGACTATCCAACTATCCAACTCAGTACTGAATGTGACCTTTAGTGTAAACATTCTGTAATTCTTGGAACACTCAAGAAATTAAAAAAAGGTAAAATAAAGTTGTTCCAATATTTCAACAGGATGAGCTTGGCAATTTTTGTAGCTTGTCAGCTACAAACCAGCACCAAGCAAAATAAGATGCATTTTTAATATAAATGATCAGTAAGTGTCTTTTCTTTGATCTGAGTTCACAAGTTATGCTAGGTTTAGCTGTGGGGATTAAAGTGGTTACCTGTCCACCTCTCCACCCTACACTGCATTTCACAGGGGAACTGAAAAAGTAATCAGTGTGCCTATTTTCAGATCCTAGAGTTTACAGTATGATGTTTTAATATAAACATATATGACCATCTCTATTTGATTTCAAATGACAGAGGTGAAATAATTGAGAAGCACGCTGTCCATTCAACAGCTTTCACCACAGAAATGGCAGTCTAAAGCAAGAGAATAGGGCTACTGGAGAGATAATGTATGAGATTTGTAGTGGGCCTCAGATGATTCTGGCATTGGTCTTATGCAATTTGACTTTTTATACATATATAAAATATATATACATGACCTGGATGTATAATATATATTGATAAAATTTGCTGGTAAAAAAAAAGGCTAGGAGATTGACAAATCTTAAAGACGATATGCTACTAACAAACAGTCTGCATTATTTAGTAAAAAGGTGATCAGTGATGTACACTTCAACAGAATAAAATGTAAATGCATACCCAGGAACAAAGGCAGAATGTCATATGCACACTACAGAGCACGCACTTCAGGGATGCTGAACTTTGATGAAAAACTAGAGAGATGCATCAGGCTGTCTGGTTGAACAAAAGCTTTCAGCAGAAGACTGGTTAGAACGGCTGATATGTAAACAACAACATCAAGGAGGTGCAGAGAGATTTTATTTTTGTACTTGACACAGATATCACTGTTCAAAAGCTGTGTCTAGTACTTCAAGAAGCACAGTGACAACATGAAGAAAGCTCAGGGAAGATCTGTGAATATGATTAAAGGATGACAAAAGAGGCCTTATACTACAGAATTCAGGGATACAAACTATGCATTTTATCAAAGAGACAGTTTAGAATTCATTTAATCATCCTTGTACTCATGCTGAAAAACATGTTAATAATGTCAAGATCTCCAGTTTGTTATACGTGTTGCCACAGTTGCTGGAGCACCCACCAGTGCTTTTAACATCAGGAACAACTCACAGGTCTGTGCTCGGACTTGAACATGCCCAGGTGAAGAAGATCTACAGTGTCTCCATTTTCTTTTCTTTAATTATATTTTTCATTAACTAATCTTTTAATTTTGTTTTCCATTATATTTTTTTAATATTTGTATTATTTTATAAATATACATTCTATTTCTACTATTTTACATTATTTTCCCTTCAATTATATTTGCATAGGTTTTATGTAAATGTTTTAAATACTAATATTTTAGAGAAGAGTATTTAACAGAGAAAATATACAAAACATTTTCTGCCCACATTGCAATCCAAAAAGGACCTAAGTATCATGAACCAACCTTACCTTTCCTGTTCCTTTACTACTGACTAACATCCCCACACCATCCTGCACCCTTACCTATCCTCCTTATTGCTTCTTTGAAGTAGGATCTCAAGCCCATCTCTCCCACTACTGAGGCAGCACACAGCTCCAGCTCTCAAAATCCAGCACTTCCCCTCTCTCCCACACCTCCACCCTCACCTGGGACCTGACCTAAACACATACTTGTTACTTTCATGCCACAGACCAGGACCTCAGGCCGTGCTTTCACTACCCTTTACTCTCTTACCACACAATCCTGCTCCAAATAAACTACCCTTGCACTCCTCTACAGCATATCCCATCTGGCTCAGAGTCCTTCCCACAACCTGAGCTAGAAGCACAGGTCCACACATGGCACAGATTTCTGACAGGCTGCTGAGAACCATCAAGCAAAACAGTTAGAAACTGACATCACTAAGTTGAAACAAAACATCTGTCACAGTGAGCTGTATGCATCAAGGTCCTTAGCCCACAGCTCAAGTCAGAGCTTGTACCCAGGCAGTTACTGAGGATCCAGCACTATCTGCTCAATTAAACATCAGGATGAAAGTGAAGAGAGGGACAGGAGACATTACAGCGGGGGTCTGCTACAGGCCACCCAACCAGGAAGACCGAGTGGATGAGGCCCTCTGTAAACAGATGGGAGCAGCCTCACGTTCACAAGCCCTGGTCCTCATGGGGACTTCAACCACCCTGGTATCTGTTGGAGGGACAACACAGCAGGGCATAAGCAAGCCAGGAGGTTCCTGGAATGCCATGGTAACTTCCTTCTCCATCTGATAGAGGAGCCAACAAGGAGAGGTGCTATGCTGGACCTTGTTCTCACCAACAAGGA